TCATTTAAATTTAATAAAAAAGGTCATTTCTAATATTTTCTAGCCAAGTATTTTTAGGTTAACATTTACCTTTCTTAGCATAGGTAAAATCCAATACATCTACTCTCCTAATCAGGTCTTCGAAAGTTCAATGTTTTATGTGTCAAAACCTTCAAAGATGACTCTCTCTAATCATATTCGCCAGTAGAGTAACACCAACCTTTTCACATACATACTCATTTCACATTCTGTCTCTAAGAGTGAAGCCACCCACCGACCTAAGCATCCTCATCCCTATAATACTTAACTTTATGCTTCTCTTTTAATGGAAAACATCCTGCATCATAAAGCATTACAAGTCTCACTACCAACATATATAATTTTCCTTTAAGTTTGAGAGGTATTTTTCTATCAGACAAAAGGTTTGGTATATTCCTCTACTTCAACAATCCAACTTGAATTCTACTAATAATATCTCCATCTATTTCTCTATCACTTTGAACAATAAACTCAAAATATCTAAAATGTGTACTCTTATTAATGACTTAATCGTTTAAAGTCACAATCCCCCACTAGCTCTATTATTATTAAAATTACACTCTATGTTATTTGCTTTTAAATTTACTCAATCAAAAACCTTTAGAATTTAAGGTTGACCTCCATAATTCAAGTTTTCTTTCAACTCTCTCTCTAATCATATTATCAACAAGAAGAATATCAACAACAAAATGCATACACCAACGAACATCCTCTTTTAATTTCAATAAGAACATTCATGACTAAAGCAAAAAGACATGAGCTTAAAGAAGATCCTTGATTTAATCCAACTAAAATTGGAAAATACTTAGTCAAACCAACTTTTGTTTGAGCACAAGTAACAACTCTTGCATACATATCTTTAATTATTTGAATATAAACATTATTAACTCCTTTCTTTTCTTGTTGAGTGTAAAATAGCACCAAAGCGTGGTAAAAGCGCAACAAAAATACAGTAAAATCACAATAAAAGTGCAATAAATACACAATGAATGAGTAGGCGCAGTAAATCAAGTGGATATGCAATAATGTTATATTGGCAGTTTACAAAAAAAACTTTTACAATGAACTTCAATTCTTAAAGATAATCCTTGATATCATCCAATTGAAATAGGAAAATAATTGGTCAAACCAACTTGTGTTTGAGCACAAGTAACAACTCCTACATACATATCTTTAATGATTTGAATATAAGCATTATTAAATCCTTTTTTTTTCTTATTGAGTGTAAAAGCACAACAAAGTGCGGTAAAAGTGCATTAAAAGCACAGTAGAAAATACACAGTGAATGGGAGTAAAAGAGCTGTAAATTGTAGTGGATATGCAATAATGTTATCTTGATAGTTTATCAAAACATTATTACAATGATCTTCAATTCTTAATGAACATTTGAGAAACAGTAAATTGATAGTAAATATGCAGTAAATATGAAGTAAATACATAGTAAATAAAAGATAAGTACATAATCAATAAAACATGCAATAAGAAACCAATATGCAGTCATCATACGGTCAATGCAAGGTGTGCATAAGGAACTGACAACATATTTGTTGCGGACTAGAATATATACGGCGATAGAATTAAAAAATTTTCGTCTTAGCGTTGTACGGATATCTAGCACAAAAATAGAAGAGAAATAGAAACACCAGAATTTTTATGTGGAAAATCCTAGAAAAGAAAACAATCATGGGGCCACGCCCAGTTGAAATAATTCCACTAGTATTTGTTTGAAGTACAAGAAGTTGATTCATCCTTAAAATTTAGGACGATCAGTTTATAATGCTTCACTTCCGAATTGAGATCCAATTACAATGTCGGGCAGAGTTCCGGCGTCACTTGGAGATCAAGCAAAATTCTAGCGTCCTTCAGAGATAAGGCAGAATTCGGGTGTCGTTCAAACGTTGGGCAGAATTCTGGCGTCGTTCTGAAGTCGGGTAAAATTCCAGCATTGGGCAGAACTCTGGCGTCACTTGGGCGTCAGGTAGAACTCCAGCGTCGTTTGGAAGTCGGGCAGAAATCCAGCGTCGTTCGGAAGTCGGGCAGAATTTCAGCATCAGGCAGAACTCTGGCGGTAGTCGAGGAGGAGTTCTTCCCTCCTATCATTCCCTTCTTCTTCTCTTCTTCTTGCTTGGTTCCCTTCTCATGAAAAATGAGGGGTCTATTTATAGATATTCTTGAGTGGCATGGCATGTAATAGGTGAGAGATCAGTGGTAAATAGGGAGTCGTCGGATGGACGGCCGATATTGAATCCCTTGATCATGTACCGTTCATCAGACATTTAAAGGTCTTAATGATGTCGGAATTCGACGATTTTGGGCTAGTTGGATTCGTCTCGTCGGGCCGCTCGATTCAACCATAATAATGTCATATTTAGAAACCTTTTGGTAACTAAAATTGTGGTTCAAACTTTCCAACAGCGCTTCAAGTTCTTGATTTGGACTCATTTGGGCTCGGATTGAGTCGAATTTGGTATCGTTGGGTTTGTATTTTTGAGACGCTCAGTTTGACTATAAGTTTGCTGAAATCAAAATTAAGGTGATCCCAGATTTTATTTTTGAAGTTTCCAGCTTGATTTTGCCTTAAGATTCATGTCCGATCAAGATAATTTTTTGATGATATATCATTTGCCCCCCTATTTTCGGACATCAAAGTTTTAGGAATTCGAAAATATGTGTCACAGACTTTAGAGAATTTTTTATGTAATTGGAAATCCGATCTTGCATGTAAGAGCCCCAAATAGCTTTGAAAGTGCCGAAATTGAATCGGAAAGTCAAAAAATATTCCCCGGGACCCAAAAAACATCTGATTTTCAATCTTAGTGTTGTACAGATAGCTTGCACACAAACTTGAGAGAAATAGAAACACCAAAATTTTTATGTTGAAAACCCTGGAAAGGGAAAAAATCATGGGGCCATGTCTAGTTGAAATAATTATGTTAGTGTTTGTTTGAAGTACAAGAAGTTGATTCGTCCTTAAAATTTAGGACGATCAGTTTACAATGCTTCACTTCCAAATTGAGATCCAATTACAACATCAGGCAGAGTTCTAACGTCACTTGGAGATCGAGCAGAATTCCGGCGTCCTTCGGAGATCAGGCAGAATTTGGGTGTCATTCGGAAGTTGGTCAAAATTCTGGTGTCGTTTGGAAGTCGGGCAAAATTTTAGCATCAGGCAGAACTCTGGTGTCACTTGGGCGTCACGCAGAACTCAGGCGTCGTTCGAAAGTTATGCAGAATTTCGACGTCGTTCGGAAGTCGGGTAGAATTTCCACGTCGGGCAGAACTCTAGCGGTGGTTGAGGATGAGTTCTTCCCTCCTATCCTTCTCTTCTTCTTCTCTTCTTCTTGCTTGGGTCCCTCTCGTGAGAAATGAGGGGTCTATTTATAGATATTATGGAGTGGTATGGCTTGTAAATATGTGAGAGATCAGGGGTAAATAGGGAGTGGTCGGATGGATGGCCGATATTGAATCCCTTGATCGTGTACCATTCATCAGACATTTGAAGGTCTTAATGATGTCAAAATTTGACGATCTTGAGCTCGTTGGATTCGTCTCGTCAGGCCGCTCGATTCGACTATACGAACATCATATTTGGAAACTGTTTGGTAACTAAAATTATGGTTTAAACTTTTTAACAGTGCTTCAGGTCCTTGATTTGGGCTCGGATTGAGTCGAATTTGGTGTCGTTGGGTTCATATTTCTGAGACGCTCAGTTTGACTAGAAGTTTGCTGAAATCGGAGTTAAGGTGATCCCGAATTTAATTTTTGAAGTTTCTGGCTTGCTTTTGCCTTGAGATTCGTGCCCAATTAAGATAATTTTTTGATGATATATCAATATAAACATTGAAAGCATAAACATAGCGCGATAAAGGTTTAGTAAAAGCATAATGAAAGCACAACGAAAGTGCATCAATATACAGTAAAAGCGTAGCAAAAGTACAACAAAAATGCAATGAATAGGCAATAAAAGCGCAATAAATTACAATGAATATGTAGTAATGTTATCTTGACAGTTTATAATAAATGTTATCTTAATGAACATTCGAGACGCAATAAATAGGCAGTAAATACATAGTAGATACACAATAAATACACATAAACCATATAGTAAATACGCAGTATATATATAGTGAATAAACGGTAAATACATAGTCAATATAACATTCAATAAGTAGCCAATACGAGTCATTACATGGTCAATGCACGATGCGCATAAGGAACAGATAACATACTAGCAAAATTCACTTCGTTAAAATTCTATCTACAAATTAAAAAAGAACAATACATTTATAGTAAACCCTTATAACAACTTGTAATGAGTTAGAAATTTACCGAAAAGTTGAAACCTACAACAATTCCAGCTAAATTAACTTCCGCTTCCCGGATGTCTGCACACCTCGTTTCAGCCTCCACGTTTTGTGAGCATGTCATCTTTGCGAAGACTATGCGTTCTCCTTAATCTTCATCGATTGTTCCTCATTTTTTTTCTTTTTCAATAGATATCACAAGTTCCGCAAAAGTCTTAAATATTTAGATCATTTCTTAATTTTTTTTAAAAATGAAGCGTCAATCCTAAGTCTAAATTTTAAATGGGATTGAAAATAGTGCATTGGGTCGGTTCAGCCAGGCTGATTAGATAAAAAATAAAAAAAAAACAAATAAAAAATAAAATCAAATGGATATAATTCACTCGTCAAACCAAATAATTTCTCCACTGCCCATGTGGGAGTCGATAAATTATTGTGTACGCAGTCCGAACGCAGGGATAGGTTCGGATGCTGCGTATTTACTGCTTATTTGTTGCGTATTTTTTGTGTATTTAATCTTTTCTACGTATTTTTTGCGTATTTATTGTGTATTTAGTGAGTATTTAGTGAGTATTATTTATTTGTTATTTTTTTGCACAAAAAAATTTTATATAAAAAAATACACAACAAATAAGCAGTAAATACGCAGCATCCGAACGTGTTCGGATTAAGTACACAATAATTTCTCCACCCACGATTTACATTTTACAAGCCTCGCATCTCCAGTTCGGCTAGAAATCCAATGCTCCGCTCTTCTGTAGCTTCTCCTTCCGCACCGTATTCCTTCCTCTCATGCCGCTGGAGCTTCTTGCCGAAGCCCGCAGCTTCCGTTCGTAACTTCTCCGGAACGCTTTCCGACCACTCCTGTTCTCTGAGTTATCTTGCACCTCCTATTTGTGCTACTGGTAGATATTTTTCCTTCCTGTTCTACATTTTCTCCCCCGATTGCGTTCAATCTATTCTCGCTGTTGCCTTCCTGACCTTTACTGATTAGGGTATCGGGCCATCGCCAAAGCTGTCGGGGAAGATGTCGAAGAGGAAAAAGAGGTGGGTGGTTTGAACTTCATAGAAGTGGGCTACATTACTGGCGTGCACGGGCTTAAAGGGGAGTTGCGAGTGAAACCCAATACAGGTTTTCCAGAGCTTAGGTTTTGCAAGGTGCCCGCGTTTCCAATATAACCGTTACTCCATTTCTTATTTTGTTTCTTATCAGTGGATTTATGCTCCTGCAGCCTGGGAGAAGGTGGCTTAAAGCACGAATTTTAGGCAAGGAAACAATTTCTGAAATGGAGCTTACTAGGGGCAGAAGCCATCCAGGACAGAAGTGTTGGATCATCAGTTTTGAGGCGATTGACACTGTGGATAAGGTTTGTTTTATGTGGTCTGGCTTTTTTTTTTTTAATTAACTTTGCAGACTGCGTTGTACTTGTGTGATAGCCATAAGCATTCATGCTTTTTAGTTAACTATTGTCTGCTATACAGTTCCTATTAAACATTTGAGTTGAATTTTAAATATCGATTTGTTTGTCATTTTATTCGTGCTCTGGTAAGCGGTTAACAGCATTTTGGATCAAATTGAAAAAAAAAGAATAAAGTACTTTACATCAATTTCGAATTGGATTATAAAAGAGCATTATGCAAGGAGCATCGTGGTTTTAAAATAGATAGCCATGAAAGTTTCACCTAACTCGCTAAATGGCCAAAGAAACACTCATTACAAATTTTTTTTTCTTTGCTTGTGAAGATCATTCATACAATCTTATAAAATGGGTTGCATCTAGTGATTCATAGTGAGGAGCTTTATATTGTAATCAAAAAGTTGGTATACCCATTGCAGTACATGATGAAGGGATTTAACTTTAGCTTGCGAGCTAAACTCAAAGAGCCAAAATCAAGTAAAACATTATTTTATTAAAGAGAAGATTTTTCTTATATAAATATATGCAAGCAAAACTTTGTAATTATAATTTTTTTGAAATGAAATTTTATTAAATTAATAAAATTTTTAAGAATCCATCATCATGGGAAACTAAACTATCAAATTAATAGAGAAGAAAAAAGGAATCAATTAATTCTTTAAAGTTAAACCAATAACCAACACCAGAGTCTAAACAAAAGAACTGCCACTAAAAAAATAAATACCAAACCCATAGATATAACTGTTGTTGATAAATCTGCCCTTGTGATGATGATTAACCTATCAATCTACCTGAATATGTTAAGACTCTTCTTTTAGTCTCTACCATGATATGATTGATTATTTATGATTATATATTTATTTATAAATGACCCTTCACTTTTTCCTATCATAAAATAAACAAATAAATAAATTCTATAGGAGTGGGAGGGGATGATATATATGGTGATGACATATATAACTGCTAATTTTACAATTAAGATATATATGTACCCTTAAATTTTACTGTTACTTGCAAGTTTTCTTTTGGGGCTACAAAGTGGGTTTTCTGTTATTAGGAGTTATTTTGATTATAAGTTAGTGTATTTTTCACTATATTTTCTATACAAACTATTTCTATAGTTTTTAACAAGAAAAATTGATTGCATTTGTTTTGTTGCACAATTTTTATTGAAGTTTCTTACAATAGTTGCATAATCAAAACTTGGTCTTAGTTTTCAAATTTCAAATAGAAATGATTTTATTTTACTATTTCTAAATTCTCACAGAAAGAAAGTTTGACCAGTAAAGCTAATTTTTTTATTATTCTGTTTAGTATATTATATGATATTATGCAAGCATAGTTGTGACTTGTGAGGTGACAGAATTTCTTAGCATGGAACCTAGATACAAACCTATTCAAAATAGATAATACTGATGGAATTTGCAAGAATGTACTAAATCATAAGATAAATGAATTTGGCAAGAAAATTGGTCAATGATTCTGTTTCGTCCATTTTTTAAATCTGGTGGTGCATTAATAATTATTAAATACGGAAACGCTCTATTTTAGATCCTTGTTGGTGTTTTTGACACTTAACACCGTTGTAGTAAAAAATTCAGTGCAGGTATGAATTGATAAACATGGAATTATTATGTGCAGAAGAAAAATTGATGTAGAAGAGTTTAACACAATAATTTTTAAACCTATGTGCATTAATTTGAACATGCTAGTTATAAGTGAGAAAGGAAGGGATAGTTTGGGGAAGAAAATTGCTCCTTTTATTTTGCATAACAATTTGTAAAGCTTATAAAGGCCAAGTTGGGTGATTAAAATGGAGAAGTTATTTATTATTGCTATGGACAAGAGAATATCATGCAGAGTTAATATTGAATTTTATAAAATTATGATCAGGCCATCTATTCTTCATTGACTTGAGTGTTAGACAGTAAAGAAATCACTGATAGTCAAGTTAATCATGGTAGAAATAACACTTTTAAGTTGAATGTATCAATGTTTAAAATTGCGTATTCGAGTATTGAAGCGTTTTTCGTTCGTGAGGCGAGGCGTAAGCCTCAAGGCGTTTTGAGGCATAAGCCTCAAAATAAAAAAATTGCGTAAACATAAAATGATAAATTTTGTATATAGTAATGAGTAAATAATATATAAAACATAAAAATACACAAGATATTAAGTGAAATCAAAATATCCCAATAGTAAAAGAACATGGAATATAGTTCAACTCAAACTCCATCTTTCCCAAATCACAGTATTCTTTTCATTAACATATAAGAGTTATTTTGAGCGGTACCAGAACAAAATTTTATTGTAAGAGTTATTTTGAGCGGTACCGAGCGGTACTGGCTCGGTACCGAGCATGTACCTAGTGGTACCGATCATGTACTGCTCAGTACCGAGCATATACCTGCTCGGTACCAAGCGGTACTGGCTCGGTACCGAGCATTTACCTAGTGGTACTGAGCATGTACTGCTCAGTACCGAGCATGTACTGCTCAGTACCGAGCATAATTTTTAGAGGCGGACGCCTCTCAACCATGAGGCGAGGCGAGCCTCAGTAAACTTGAAGCGTACGCCTCAAATCTTGAACTCATTGCGTAGGCTTTGAGGGTTAAATGGACGAAATTGCGGTGAGGCGAGGCGCGCCTCTTATTGCGCAATTTTAAACCATGGAATGTATAAAAATTGTTGAGAAATGACTAATAGAAGTATGGTAGTAGTAGTGTCAATTGCAGATAGAGTAATAGAAAATAGATTGCAATGGTTTGTACATTAAAGACAAAATGGTAGAAGATGCACCAATAAGATGAGTAGTTAAAATTAATATTGAAGGATTATGAAGAAAATGTGATAAACCTAAGGTAATATGAACAAAAAGTTGCGCATAAAGATTTGTGCAAAAGTTATTTAACATTTTATGCACTACACAATAGGGTTGAATGGAAAATAAGGATTCATAAATGCTAACACCAAAAAGTTGAGATAAGGATTAACATAAATGCTAACACCAAAAAGTTGAGATAAGGATTAACATTATGATAACGGTGATGATTATATTGTGCATAACAATTATGTTTGTGGGCAACCTTTACTATCCATGCTATTTTCTTTCCCAGGCTAAACAGGTTGTTGGCTCCACCATACTTGTACGGGAAGAAGATAAGCCAGAATTGGAGGAAGATGAGTTCTACTCTCATGACCTTGTTGGAATGAGGGTCCTTCATAAGGTCCATCCTCTTCTTTTAGTTCCCTAATACATGATTATTATCTAATTATGGTAAAGGGGCTGCTCATGGCATTGGTTATTGTTCTTGCTCTTTCTGTAGTGTACTTTCCTAGTTTATCAAGAAGCCATGAACTAATTTTTTTCAAAGGTGGAATGTGATGTTAATTATTAATACAAAGTTATTTAATGATCAAACATATTTTTAGTTTAGATTTGAGGTCCTTTGAAATTTTTTGAAGTTTATTTGTACTTCCTCTTGGCGTAAAAAAAGCAGGGCTTAGGTGAGCGATGGTGTTTGTGGGTGATTGTCTTTTCAAACTATTTGAAGAGGTTAACATTACTTGATCATGCCTTACTTGGGCCTAGCTTTCTTGATTTCAGCAATGCTTGAGCTCACTCGCATCCAATGCCTAGAAGGGGGGAGGGGAAAAATTGAGTTTTTTCAATTATAGGATGTGGGAATGGAAAGAGATTGACAAGGCACTATTGCATCTTGTTAGAAACTCGTTTGGTGCACCCCAGTTGATCTCTCAATGCTGCAGGACATCAAATGCTAGTCATTGCTGAGCGGCTTCCCAGTTCTGTCTATGGGGGGCAATTGTGTTAGCAAGTTGTTTGGTAAAGAGACAAGCTACTGACGAGGATGCAGAGGACGATGGAAGTGGGGGTGTCATAGTACGATCAAAATGGTGAGCTAGTTGTCCTGAGCTAGTTTTGTAGGAGGATTATTATGTGGTAAATGCCATTGTGAAGAACGTAAGGGGGAAAACTGAGTGGTGGAAGTCGTAGAGTTCCCATGAAAAACCAAGAATGGAATTTTAGAGGATATTCATAGTGTTATTTATTTTGTGGAAGTTGGGAAGGATGCTGCTGGCTATGTAATTTCATCCTTTTCGTTAACTTGTGAAAAAAGCTTCTGCTACACATACAGTGTATAAAATGTACTATGAAAGTTTGGCTTTCTTAAAAAACTTATATAAAAAGAGTCCTCTTATCATGTATAAATTACAAGAATCTCTGACCCTCTTATTTAGAATATATATAAGTCCACACAGTTTCAGAATTAAGGCATAATCAAGTCAAACATGAGCAAATAATACCCTCTTTATTTGTAGCTTATTTGTGAATTTAGCTCTTAGGCGATGTTCAAGTTTAGTTAGTTTGCTTTCCAATTTGGGTGGAACATGATCTATCACGAACATAATGCCATAGGTGGTAGTAAGGATTTTTTTTTTTGTTAAATAAAATTTGTTTTCTCTATTCCTAACATGATAAACTTTTTTTTTTCTTTCAAGATTGCTTATTTTGATAGAAGGATCAGATTTTCTAATTTGACACAACATTTCGATCATCTCAGGACACAGGCATTCTGGTTGGAAAGGTCGCTAATGTTCTGAACACTGGGGCTAATGATCTTTTGCATGTTAAGCGTTATTCATGTGAGCCAAGTAAAGGAAAAGTGAATCTTTCTGATTCACATTTGTCAGAAACAGATGTTTCTGGTCAATTTTTGTGGATTCCCTTTGTTAAAGCAATAGTTCCAGATATTGATATGGAGAGGAGAGAAATGATCATCACTCCTCCAAAGGGGCTTTTAGAGCTCAACTTGCGCAGTGACATGAGATCTAAAAAGGAAAGGCGCCAGATGGTGAGTCTATATAAAATCAAACTGTTGCAAATAATTTGGCAATGTATTTGACTATTTGCTTGAAAATACTATAAAATTCTCATTCATATGTTATATAATTTCATAATTAAAATTATCAAGAATTATACATCATTGTGGTTGTTCTTATAGGTCAGTATTGATAAAATTAAATGCATAAAATACCAAATATGGCTAATTTTCGTCATTTAACTTCATCTCTAGCTTTTTTTACACAAAATATGATGGAGTAAGAAGTCTTGAGATAATTTGTTTGGTGTGTAATGCTAGTGATGCATGATAGCTTTTTTTATCAATTATTATTTGCTATGCTGCACCAATATTTCATTCCAAAGTCTGTAGTAGCAAATACAAACACACGCATGATATATGTAAGATATGACATTCATGTGTATGATTTTTTAATTAAGAAAAGGCACATTGGTTAGATACTTGGGGACCAAGTTTTGAACATGCATGCTAATAAATATAAGTCATGACTCACCATTTCTCTTAACTTCAAAATGCTAGAAAGATAAAACCCAACAATTTGATAAAGAGCCTTAGTTTTTATTTCACTATTTGATCTCTCCTTTCTCGCTGATCGTAGTTAGTCCGTGCCTATCGTTGCTTGTTAAGTCTCTTCCACATTTTCAGTCACTTTTCTGGTGACCAACCCCAACCTTTTATGTTCGTGTCTTGGCCACTAACGATCCCTCCATATGTGTCCATATGCTGACCCTTTTCACTCGTGTTTTCCTTGGCCAATTCTCCATGCTACTTGATGACATTTTCTTGAAGTAGGATTTTAGGATCCTATGACAGTTGTGCTTAGAGGCTTTCTTAATGTAATTTTTCTATATTTACCTATTTTCTAGTTCAAGCTATTGATATTAAGAATATTGCACATTACGTACTTGGATAATCTAATGAAAAACTCCTAATAGTAAAAATAGTTGGCGGTGAAATTAAAATGTGTTAGAAAAAATAAAAAATAAGAATTTTATTAAAAAAAAATTGTTTTGATATAAAAACTCGGTAAATTTGAAAAAATATAAAGGGGCCTATAAGGAGTCTAACAAAGCAATATGAGATGCAAAGAATTTTTCTTTAAATGATTTGTATAATAGATTATATACTAAAAAAGGCAAAAGATGTATGTATAACTTAGCCAAATAAAGAGATAGGATAACTAAATATTTAGTTCAAGTGAAGTGCATTAATGATGAAGATAAAAAAATGCTTTTATTAAAAGAGGATAGTCAATAAAGGTGAATATGATATTTCGATAAACTTTTCAATGAGGATTGTGAGAATATGATTGACTTTATTGACCTAAGCACTTTAAATGATAAAAGAGAATTTTGTTTTTCATTTAAAGAGATGAAGTATTAAAAAGCTATTGGACCTGATGATATTCTAATAAATGTGTGAAAATGCTTAGGATATGAAGGAATTTCTTGGCTTACGAATTTTTTTAATATTATTTTGAAAATTAAAAAGATGCTAGATGAGTGGAGTGTATTGGTTACTATTTTTAAAATAAACGTGTGCACAAAAGTGTGTGAATTACAAAAAAATTAAGTTAATGTGTCATACATTAAAACTATTGGAGAGTAATTGAGCCTAGGTTGCAACATGATACTAATGTTTCTTAAAATTAAAACTTGATTCATGCCAGATATGTGTTAGACTAATCACTGGACCGATTCAGCTAGTCCGTGATGGACTGGCTCTATTTTATCGAAGGCAGAACTCCTTTTCCGCTCGAACAGGTTCCGCCCCATATGCGTGGGATCCAATGACCATCAATTAAGTGGATTTAATGTGGTTTAGGAGGGAAAATTCAGAGGGGCTATTTAAGGATTTCCTTTATGTTTGTATGCTTTAAGTATGATATTTTTTCTAGGGTTAGGCATCGAGTGTTTCCTGAATTTAGTTTGTTCTTCGTTGTTCTGGGCTCTAACGACGTCTAGAGATTTGGGAGAGACGGATCTTCCTCTTAAATTGAAGATCCATTATATCATATTTGTTTTTTTCTGTCTTTCATCAATTCAAGGGTTCCTTAAGGGTTTGGCTACAAGTTTCTTCTTTATTGCTATTTGCAATTTGCTGAAATTCCAATTTCATCCCAATTTTCTTTTATTTCTACAAGTGTAACCTATCAAATTGGTATTAGAGCGGTGTCCGAGACTGAATTGGAGGGTTAGTCTTGCTGATTTCTGTTGTGTTTTTTTCTCCAAACCGCAGATTTTTTGGGTAGATTTTCTTTTTTTATTGTTGACCAAGATTCAGGTACTTATGGAGGCCAAGAAGGTTAATGTTTTCGAGAAGAAAGAAGTCCTCTTCAAGAGCTTATTCATAGGGAGGAGATAGGTAGAAGGTATGAAGAAAGGCGTGAACATGTTGAGTATGAGTGAAGGGGTGCTGATTTTGGAAGGGAGGTAGATTATGGCCGGAGAGGTGCTTATTTAGAAGGGATGATAGGGTAACTTGAAGAAGGGTTTGAGTACGAGCATTTAAGGGAGGATCAGGATACTTGGGCGACCACCCACTTTGGGAAGGAGAAATTAGTAAGGATTCAGGGGGGACTGAGGAGATCCGTGGGTAAGGAAGATTAAGATGCCCATCATTGAGGGAGAAGATGCACATGAGTGGATCTATAAGGTGGAGATATTTTTTACTATTAATGGATTGACAAAGGAGGAGAGATTGACAATAGCAGACCTGTGTTTGGAGGGGAAGGCATTGGCATGTTACTAGTAGAGAGACATGAGACGACCAATGCGGAGTTGGAGGCAGTTCAAGGACTGCTTGTTGGAATGTTTTTGAACCAGTAGGGGAGGGGACTTCTATGAGCGGTTTTTCATCTTGATGCACGGAGGCTCAGTGGTAGAGTACCGTGAGAGGTTTGAGTACCTAGCTAACTTGTGCTGGAGGGAAACTTCATGAAACGACTCAAACCAGAGATATGCGCGGTTGTTATAGTGATGAGACAAGCGCAGTTAGTGTAGTATTAGAAGCACTTGGAGATGGGGGTTAGAAGCAGCAGTTCAGGAAGCTTGTATTGGACGACCACCACATTTTTTGCACCTAAGGGGCCACCATCAGGTGCTCTTTTGGAAACCCTAAAGGAGAAGTTTGTAGGAGGGGGAAACTTCAAGAATGTTACTAAGAAGGAGCTGCAAGAGAAGAGGGCTATTGGCTTTTGTTTCAGATGTGATGAGGTGTCTATACCCTGGGGCACAAGTGTAAGGACTAAACTCTTCAGGTTCTCAACATTTGTGATGATGAGGAAGCTGAGGTGGGAGGTGAAAGGGAGACATTGGTAGAGTAAGAGTTGCATCTAGATATAGTGAAGGTCTCCTTGAATTTAGTGGTTAGATTTACTTCAAATCACACTATGAAGGTGAAGGAGAAATAATATACATGGAGATGGTGGTGTTGATAGATAGTAGAGCTACCCACAATTTCATCTCCAACAATGTCGTAGACCAATTGAAGGTGCAACTGGTGGATATAGGGTGTTATGGAGTGATGATGGGCACTAGGAAGGTGGAGATGGGTAGAGGAGTGTGTAGGGGAGTAGTTTTGACCATATAGGGGTACAAGTGAGAGATGAGTTCTTTTCATTAGAGCTGGGGAGCACTGATGTCATCCTGGGAATGAAATGTCTACATACTTTGGGGGATGCCAAGGTTAATTATGGAGGACTAATGATGGAACTGATGGCAGAGGAAAGAAGGGTGATAATTAAGGGTGATGCTGGGTTATCCAAAGCCATGATGTCACTCAATATTGTAGCGAGGACCCTATAGGAGGTGGGAAGAGGATTTCTGGTAGAGCTGTAGAGCTTAAAGGGGATCATATTGCAGGAGGGGGAGACATACCTCTTTCAATATAGCCACTTATACAATAGTTCAGTGAGGTATTTTAGCTATCTCAAGGATTGTCACCAACAAGGGAGCAAGAGCACGCCATCATCTTGTGGGAGGGGGTGTCACCGATTAGTGTTAGGCCATTTCTCTACCCTCAGGTTCAGAAGAATGATATTGAGAAATTGATCAAAGAGATGTTGGAGGCAAGGATCATCATGCTGAAAGTGAGTCCTTTTTCTAGCTCAGTCTTACTGGTCAAGAAGAAGGGTGGGAGCTAGAGATTCTATGTTGATTATCGGGCATTGAACAAGGTGACTGTTCCAAGAAAAATTTCATTTCGGTGATAGATGAGCTATTAGATGTGCTGTGTGGAACAATGGTGTTCACAAAGCTGAAGCTGAAGTTAGGCTACCATCAGATCAGGACAAGAGGAGGATGTTTCGAAGATTGCATTAAGGACTCATAAGGGACACTATGAGTTCCTGGTGATGTTTTTTGGCCTCACTAATGCCCCTACTACATTCCAATCCCTCATGAACAGTGTGTTCCGACCTTACATCAGGAGGTTTGTATTAGTTTTCTTTGATGACATTCTGGTGTACAACAAATCATATGGGGGGAGCATTTAGAGCACTTGAGGGTAATCTTGAAGTGTTACAGGAGTACCAGTTTAAGGCTAACATGAAGAAGTGTTATTTTACATAGGCCAATGTGAAGTACTTATGGCATGTATCTCGATAGGGGGTGGCTGTTGATCAGGCCAAGATTGAGTCAATGTTGAAATGGCCTCTACCTAGGAATTTGAGCGAGTTGAGGGGTTTCCTAGGGTTGACTGGTATTACAAGAGATTTGTAAGGGAATATAGCACCATATTCTGGCCCTTGACAAAGCAGCTGAAGAACGATAGCTTTTTGCAGGGAGAGGCGGCTACCCAGGCCTTTAAGAGTTTAAAGAAGGTCATGACCACGATACCTGTATTGGCCATACTAAATTTCAGCCAGATCTTTATGGTAGAGACTGACACATCATGATATGGTTTGGGGGCAGTGCTCATGCAGAATCATAGGCCCATAGCTTATTTTAACCAGGTGTTATCCTTTAACATATTATTTGTGTATTATATAAAAAATGACTTTAATTTTTATTTTTACTTTACGCAATTTTTAGATTTTAAGGCCTACGCCTCAAAACGCATTGAGGCTTATGCCTTGCCTCACAAATGCCTCAATACCCAATTGCGTAATTTTAAACATTTTTCTAAAATTTTTCATATCATTGCAGGACGAAAATCCCTCTCTAGCAATGTCACATATCTTATTTCCAACTTTCACAGATCTTTGAGACTTTCTTGATAGAAGGTGGAGAGATAAATTAAATCTGCAGTGCAATATGCAGATGTTTTTGTTCTTCTTCATTGGCTTTATAAATAAGTTTAGACACTAATTATTCTGACAATAAAATCAAACAATTTTATGGAAACATCTTGAAGTAGACAATTAATCAACCTCCACATCTTTGGATCAATCTTATATATATCACACAAAGATTCTTGATCTCATATATATCTAGATATTTAAAGAATTTTTTTAGTTCTATATTCATTCTCTTTATTTGAAAATTGGTATTTCAAGCAATTTTTTCTCATATAAAAAATTTCATTTTTTTATAGAAAAAACACCGTATTTTCTTGCAGCCACTCTTTACTTAGGTATCTTAATAAAATATTAAGAAAACATAATAAAAATAATATATACTTAGCATCCCTTGTTTAGTTTCAATTAGGAGTGTCAATATTTGACATGACACGAAAACCCGACTTGAACTTGACCCAAAAATTTCGGGTTTGACCCGACCTGATTTCAAAACGGGTCGGGTTCAGGTTCCCGGGTTCGACCCGTTTAAAAAAATGGTCGGGTTCGGGTTGACCCGACGGGTTGCCAGGTCAACTCGGAAACCCATTTAAAATGAGTTGCACGCACTTGCCCGGCTGCCCGCGCAGCTGCCCGCGTGATTGCACCTTCCAGCCCGCCAAGGTCGTCTACGCCTGCCAGCTCGCCGCCCGAGCACCCGAGGCTGCCAGCGCACCTACCCGTGCTCGCCCGAGCTTGCCCGCGTGAGTTCCGCTCGTGTCCGTGCATGCCTGCGCACACCTGCGAATGCCCAAAACTGCCAACAGCCGCCTGCAGCCTGCCGCCCGCCGCCCGCTTGCTTGCCCGCTAGCTTCGTGCAACCCGCCGTTCCGCCGTTCCATGTCGGGTTGGGTCAACCCGGTAACCCGATGGGTCGGGTCAGGGTCCGCATTTCCGACCTTTTTAGATACCCGGGTCGGGTTAGGGTTGACCCGTTTGAACACGGATTAGTTCCGGGTTCGACCCGAACCAGACCCGAAACCCGGTTTTGACACCTCTAGTTTCAATGCAAGAAAAAAAATTTATGATCAACAGTACCTTACAGAAGTTCATGCAACAAATTTGTTGTCACAAATCTTGTCTTTTCATAAAGATTGAAGCTTGCATTGTTTGGAAAATAATAGCAAGGTTGAGTAGGGACTTGATCTCTTAACATGGCATGATTGGAGATATCTTAAATTCGATCATTTTTTAACAAAAAACTTTTTTTTTTTGGGTAATAAGATTTTGGATACCTTGTCCATAGTTTCTTAGGCACAAAGCTAGAATTGTCATGTTTCAGACATTGCATATCTTGTTATTATGAAGTACTAACATATCATATGCTAATTAGTTTTTGGAACTAAATATGGAATAGCCGTGCATGTGAATTTTTTTTTCTTCTTTTCTGTTTCAAGTTGCAATGAATCAGTACTTTCACTGGAGTGGATGCCCTTGCGTGTATATTAATGTTAATTAAAGAATATAAATTGACGCCCGTCATTGGATTGGATGCCTTTACATGCATATGAATTGCTAATTAAATAATATAAATTGATTTTACAGTCATGACGTTGCTAGTAGAGAACATCCTTGAATGATGCGTGTAGTCCTCAAGAGGAATTTAATAGTAAAATTTTAGTATGTTCATGAATAGTTGAAGCAAGTAAACATGAGGAATTTTTGACAATAATGTCTTACTAAATATTGCAGGAATGGAAGCTGAGAAAGAGGTTACAGCAGCGCTTTACTGCAGCCAAAAAAATACTGCAGGAGATGGGGCATAGTCATCTTTTTGATGGATTTAGTATTGGAGATAAAGGTCAAAGGGCCATGCTTGCTAGGCATATTGCGGACCTCAATTTGAGTTTATTTCAACATGCAGTGCGATGCGTGGAAGCATCTTCAAGGAGGTACTGTGCTGTCTTCTTTGCCTTTTGACAATAAATTATGCAGGGTAAATGGATAGTAAGCATCAAACGATATGTAATTATTGGGTTTTAACATTTATAATATGCGTTTTGGCATACACAGACGAATGCCTGCTTGAGCACCATCATCATTAGGCTTACCTCAACTTTAAATGCAAATTGACATGAAAGTTGTTTTAAATTAAACTTGAAAGATTCCTTTTGTCCTAAGATATAATTTGACATCTTAATCATAGGAATGGGGAGTTAATGCTTGACAGATATAGTCTATTTTTAAAATAAAAAATTTCTATTACCTTCAAACATAAATAGCTATACATTTATTGAGAGGTTTGATTTAGAAGTATAGAGATAATAAGGATGATCATCTTATAATATTTATTAGTTTAGAGAAATCATATGATAAAGTTTCAAGAGAAGTGCTATGGAGAGTTCTAGAAAAAGAAAGGGTTAATAATGCTTATATTGAAGTCATTAAGGATATGTATGAATGAGCTATTACTTGCGTTCAAACACAAGGTGGTCTCATCAAGTATTTTCCTATTTTTGTAGGATTACATTAAAGGTCAGCTTTAAGCCCATATCTTTTTTCTTTAGTCATGGATGTTCTGACTAGACATTTGCAAGAGGTTGTACCCTGGTGTATGTTTTTTGTTGATGATATTCTTTTTGTTGATAAGACTAAAAGAGGGAGTTGAAGGTAAACTTCAATTATGGAGATCAACCGCAGAGCCTAACGGTTTTGGTTTGAGTAGATCTAAAATCGAATATATGGAGTGTAATTTAGTAGTAATAGATTTAGTGGGGGATGATGATTTTGGACGATCAAGTCATTAATAAGAGTACATGTTTTAGATATCTTGGGTCTATTGTTCAGAGTGATAATGAAATAGATGGGGATATTATGAGTAGAATTCAAGTTGGATGGTTGAAATGGAGGACTGCATCGAGCTTGTTGTATGTTAGAATGTCCCCCTCAAAATTAAGGGAAAATTCTATAAGATGGTGGTGAAACTTGCAATGCTTTATTGTGTAGAATGTTGACCATTTAAGTGTTGCAGAGATGAGGATGCTCAAGTAGATGAGTAACTTTAATCTTATAGATAGGATACGAAATAAGCATATATATGAAAAGGTTGGAGTAGCTCCTGTGGAAGATAAGATTAGAGAGAGTTGCCTTAGATGATTTGGTCACATCAAACGACAACCTTCCGATGATTCCGTTATGAAAGTAGATGTATTGGATTTACAATAAGAAAGGTAGAAATATACCTAAAAAAGACTTATTTAGAAAATATTGGAAATGACCTTTCTTTATCAGAATTAAATGAGATTTTGACTCTATTAAGAATACAATAATGGAGAAAAAAGATTCATGTAACTGACCCCACATGGTGGGATAAAGGCTTGATGATGATGTTGTTGTTGTTTGTATTACTTTCAAACTTCTCTGGGGTGTGAAAGGGATTGAATGAGGTTAAATCTGAATTTAACCCGTAATCAAATGGCCTTTAATAATATTGGAAATTGCCTACTATCGTTCAATCATATCACCATTGCATCATCAAGATTTCTATCTAATATGGGCCTGCTAAATAGGTTAGTATTGATGATAGTAGTTCAGTCTATGAATGAGTACTAAGCGAAATAGCTGGAATGTAAACCTAATTAGTAATAAAAAGAAAGATTTTTTTTTCAGAGTGCTGCCATTAAGAAGCAACCCAGCTACACTAAATCTATCGTTATTAGTTTTAAAATTCGGCCTCCTTTTTTGGGTTTCTATATGAAATAACTTTGTGAAAGCCACTCGGTAACGTGCATAAATTTTGAATTGAGTAGCGGCTCTAGAGCATAAAATTTGGCTTTTATACAACCTATCAGCATAATAGTGTAAATGGAGACATTAAAAAGCATTAGAAGTCCGTAAGATGTCATGAGGTGCTTAAGGATATCGGTTGAGAGTTCCAAAAAAATATTGCATGATGAAAAAAGTACCAGTGACTAGAGGATTCTAGTCAATAAGATGGAGTTTTATATTTGTAAGAGAAAATAGGATTAAATTGCTTAGTTATGCCAAAGTATGAGATTACATGTTGTGTAACCTAATAATCCCTCTCTCTTTCCCTCTTTATATCTATCTCCCCTTCTCTCACATACTGTTGCAAGGTTGCAACCCTTTCTAGCATGTCTCTAAATGTTGGGGAAGATTACAGGGAGATGCATTAAGTATTTCAGATCTTGTAAGTGATTGCCATTTAAGTTTCCTTTAGTTTCTGTCGGACTTATCAAGTATAAAATCTAAATCTAAAAGGAGATTTTGTATCAAATCAATCTACTACCCTGTGTTTTATTCTTGATGCTACTTTTCTATTCTAAAAAGCGCACATCAATCAACCTAAGTGTTAATGTTGATTGTGGGTTAGCGCCTAAAGTTCAATGACCAGTTACTGCTGTTTTAAGTTTCATTCAGAGCCCTATTAGACCTTTTTCTTTAATGCGGATTAATATAGTTGCTTAGTTTGAACTATCTAAAAGGTTTTGTGCAGGTGCCATTAAAATTTCTAATTGATATGGTTAAATTGAAACCAGATTAAGCCTTTTCGACTTTGTGGATGCCAACTCAGATTTATTGTTGAAGAATGCTTTGATGATACCTTACAAATATCTCCGTGATTCTGTATATCCAGAGAAAAATGACGAGTTGTTCAAAGAGGGACTACGACTTCTTAATAATTCGAAAGCTGCTATTATTCTTGTTATTAATGATGATAGCAGCCTTGGAATGGTTTCTAATGAACTCGTGCTCCATAAATTGCAGCAATTACTTGCTGATTACCAGAGCTTCTTGAAGGTACATCTTGTTCATATCTTACACCCCTTTATTCTATGGATAAATTATGCATAATGAGATGTCATGCAATATGCTTGTTCTTTATGAGGTTACTGCCTTGTTATTCCATGCTTGCATAAGATTGCCCATGGCTTCTATTGTTTTAAATTCGAACATATAGTTGTAGTGTCTGTATTTGATGTTACATATCTATTTTTTGAGGATGATGCATACACCTAAATATCAAGGAAAACATGAATGTGTTAGACTGGCTCAGGAGGGGCCTGTTTGGCCGGTCCAGAACGGACCGACCAAGTGTTATACCAGGCACAAGCCTGGGTGAAACCTAGTAAATCCTGCCTCCTTTGGGGTCCACGTTTTAAAGAAGAAAGGGAGAGAGGCGGATGTATGGGAGATTTGAATTTAAAGGGCTATTTGGACCTTGTATATTGTATTATTTGCTTGTAATAGTTATTTTCATGCTAGGGTTAGGGTTTTGTGTGTTTTTACTGAATTTAGGAGTTTTGTAGTTTTGCTTGGGCTCTAGCCGCCGGCTAGAGATTGGGAGAGCCGGCTCTTCCTCTCGAATCAAAGATCCATTGTATCTTGCTTTTTTTCATTCACCTTTCATCTATTATTAAGTTTTCCTATTGATTTGCCCAAGAATTTTTTCAAGTTTCAATTCTTCAAATTTCTGCTTGTTCTTCCTGAAATTCCAAGTTTCAGCCACTAATTTGGTAATTTCTACACTTGTTACCTATCAAATTGATATTAGAGAACTTTTTTGGGACCTATGACAGCAAAGAAGGTGGAGTTGTTGGAAAGGAAGATGGAGCAAAGCAAATCCAATGTGGAGAAGAAGTTCTCAACCATGGAAGTATGGTTTACGTCTATGGAAAACTGATTGAGAAGAGTGGAGATATTAAGGAAGCTCATGGTGATGCAATCTGAAACTCTGCTGGCGGTTCCGATTGCTAAACCTAATCAAGATTTGACTGGAATTTCCTTGGCCGAATCTAACGAATCTAAGGGAAAGGAGATCGGGAGGAGTTCGATGAGGGAGGATTAGGAGGTGAAAATTTTTGGGGAAGAAGAGGAGATGCCACCTTTGGAGCTAATTCCAAGGAGGGAAAGGGTGAAGGAGTGGGATTTTTGGTGGAGTTGCAGAGTTTGGAAGGAGAAGAAGATGGGGAGAAGATAGAAGCAACAAACATAGTTTAACCACTTCTACAATAATATCGAGAGGTGTTCCAGCCAGTTTAGGGGCTGCCTTCTCTACGGGAACACGAGCATGCTATTATTTTGAAGGAATGAGTCTCATATATCAACGTTCATCCGCACCGTTCTCCTCAACTCCAAAAGGATGAGATTGAGAGATTGATTAAGGAGATGTTGGAGGAAGGGATCATTCTACCCAGTGACAGTCTATTTTTCAGTCCAGTGCTTTAGCAGTAGTTTCTTTCATTCCACCTTGAGAACAAGGTGGCACTTTGGGAGGGGGGTATTAATGGACCGGCCAATTTGATTGGGGGAAATTATGAAGTTTTCTAATCAAGAGGAGGCTATTTAAGAAGGTTCTTAATCAAATGATAATTATTTAAGAAAATTTAATTACAATTAGGAAGGAATTATTTAGGGCAAGAAATCTAATTTGAATTCTGATTTGGAGAGAATTAATTAGTAGATGTTTCCTAGTTAAAAAGAGCATATTTGGGGGCTAATTTGAGAAGGAATTGGGGGAGAGCTGTTTTGAAATTTGTTATTTTTTATTTGTTATAAGTAGTAGGGTTTATGTTATATTTTGTATGTAGAATTTTGTAAGTGTTTATTGTCTACTATTTTTGTGAGGAATCCTAGCGACGTCTAGGGTTTGGAAGTGACTGTCCTCCTTGTGATTCCATCATAAGAATTTCATGAAGGGGCTTAGGGAGGATGATAGACAGGTGGAACTTAGGGTGTTGAGGTCCAGGGGGCTGAGAAAGATGGAGCTTGCTCAGAGGGTGGAGGAAAATATATAAGAGGAAGAAGGCCATCAAAAGCAGCAACATGGAAGGAGGCTATCAGAGTACCTCTACCTCCCAAAACCCAAATAGTATCCATCCAGATAGAGGCTCCTATGGAGAAGAGCAATGGAGTTTGCCTGGGGGAATTTCAAGCGACTCACAAAAGCGGAGGTGTAGGATAAGCGGGCAATGGGATTATGCTTTAGATGTGATGAGAAGTAAACATTGGGGCATAGGTGTAAGGACCGAACTCTTCAGGTTCTCATCGTCTGTGATGAAGAGGAAGCTGATGAGGGGGGGGGGGGGGGGGGGGGGGGGGGGGGGGGGGTGAGAGTGAGGCATCAGTGGAGGAGGAAAAATTGCAATTAGATATGGCTGAGGTCTCATTGAACTTGGTGGTGGGGTTCACTCCGAATCACACTATGAAGGTGAGAAGAAATAACATTTAAGGAGGTAGTGGTGTTGATAGATAGTGGGGCCACCCACAATTTCATCTCCGACCAGGTCGTAGACCAATTGAGGCAAAAACTGGTGGACACATTGTGCTATGGGGTGATGATGGGGACAAGAAAGATGGAGATAGGTAGAGGAGTGTGTAGGGGAGTGGTCTTGACCATATAGGGGATCCAGGTGAGGGAGAATTTTCTCCCATTAGACTTGGGGAGCACTAATGTCATTTTAGGGATGAGATGATTGCAAACCTTGGGGGATAGCAAGGTGAATTGGGAGATGCTGACAATGGAGGCTTTGGAGGGTGAGATGGAACAACTCAAAGCCGGAGTAGAGGAAAAATATTTAGGGGTGGAGGGAAGACTCTCGACCATCGAGGATCATTTTGGAAACTTCGAAGAGATGATGAAAAGATGCTTGAACTTCGAAGAGATGATGAAAAGATGCTTGAGATGCAATCGAAAGTATCACCGACAATTCCGAGGTTGGAACCATGAGGAAAGAAGATCTAGTAGGATGGCGATGAATTGGAGAGTACTTTCCATCAAGGAATGCCATGTGGAGCCTCGTTGGTGGGCTGATCGAGGTATTCCGAAGGGAGGACAACAATGAGGAAGGAAGCCAACCCTTTTGGGAGACTACCCGGGTATGGGGAGAGGTGGAATGGAAAAGGGCATGGTCGGGAGGAGCCATGTGGTCAAAATCAATGAAGGGGGGAAGGAAGGAAATCACACCACCGCTACTTGGGGGGAACCAACGGGGGAAGAAACCATTGGGGTATGGATGTGAGAGCAAGAAAGATAAACATGCCGGTCTTCGAAGGGGAGGATGCTTAGGGTTGGGTTTACAGGGTGGAAAATTGCTTTTCCATCAATGGGTTGACTGAAGGGGAAAAACTCATGATCACGGGCCTATGTTTGGAAGAGAAAGTCCTAACCTGGTTCCAATGGAGGGAGGGGAGGTATTCGATCTACTCATGGAGAGAATTTAAGAATTGCTTATTGGAATATTTCCGAGTCATCTGGGAAGGAGACCTCCACAAATAGTTCTATGCCCTAACCTAGGAAAGGACAATTATGGAGTATCTTGAGAAGTTTGAGCTGCTGTCAGGGAGACTGAGGAGGTTCTCTAAGAAAGGATTGGAGGGGATCAGAGGGGAGGAAGGGGGGATATCCCTCTTTCAATACATCCGATTATACATCAGTTCTGTGAGGTTTTTCAACTACCTCAGAGATTGCCACCACAAAGGGGACATGAGCATGCCATAATGTTGAGGGAAGGGGTATCACCGATCATTGTCAGGCCTTACCGCTACCCCCAAATCTAGAAGGATGAGATTGAGAAGCTGATCTGGGAGATGGAGGCAAGGATCATCAGGCCTGTCGTGAGCCCTTTATATAGCTCAGTCATACTGGTTAAAAAGAAGGATGGAAGTTGGCGATTTTGTGAATAAGGAGACTATGCCAGACAAATTGCCTATTCCAGTAATTGATGTGCTGCTAGATGAGCTTTGAGGAGCGACGATATTCACGAAGGTGGACATGAAGTTTGGATACCATCAGATACGAATGAGAGGAAGATGTTTTGAAGACAACTTTCATGACATACGAGGGATACTATTAGTTCTTAGTGATGTTGTTTCGTCTTACTAACTCCCCTACTACCTTTTGGTCCCTCATGAACAAAGTTTTTTTACCTTATCTCAGGAAGTTTGTTCTGGATTTTTTAATGACATCTTAGTGTATAACAAGTCCAGCGAGGAGCATTTGGAGCATCTAAGGGCGGTCTTAGAAGTGTTGCATGAATATCAGCTGAGGGTCAATATGAAGAAGTGCTATTTTGCGCAGGAGTGTGGAGTACTTGGGGCACGTAGTATCCTAGGAAGTGGTGGTCGCTGATCAGGCCAAGATCGAGGAAATGTTAAAACGATCTCTTCTTATAACTTGAGAGAGCTTATGTTATTCCTAGGATTGACGGGATTTTATAAGAGGTTTGTGAGGGGAACAACACTATTGCTTGGGCTTTGACAGAGCAGTTGAAGGATAGCTTCTTTTGGTGAGAGGCAACTACTCAGGCCTTTGAGAGATTGAAGATTTCCATGATCACGGTTTTGGTCCTGGCACTACCATTTTCAGCCAAATATTCGTGGTGGAGACTGATACCTTATGATATGGGTTGGGGGAAATGCTCATGCAAAATCATAGACCCATAGCCTACTTCAGTCAGGTGTTGACAACCAGAGCTAGATTGAAGTCATTTTATGAGAGAGAATTGATTGCCATTGTATTGGCTATTTAGAAGTGGTGGCCATATTTGTTGGGCCAGCATTTCATCGTCAGGACCGACTAGTGGAGCTTGAAGTGCTTACTAAAGTAGAGGATGGTGACCAAGGAGCATCAGAGATGACCGTCAAAGTTGCTAGGATATGATTTTGAGATCCAGCATAAGTCAGGTCTTGAAAATAAGGAAGCATATGCCTTATCTAGGTGTGTGAGGGAGCTCAAAGAGTTGGTCATTTCGATACTACTAATTTTAAATTAGGTGGCTATTAAGGAAGAAAGTACGCAGAATGAGGAGCTGAGAAATATCAAAGAGGATATGCTGAAGGATAAGAATAGCCACCCTGATTATTCCATAGATGGTGAGAGACTTATACATAATGGGAGGTTGGTGCTGCCACGAACCTCAATTCATATTTCGTGTTCTCTATAGAAGTTCCACGGGAACGCTATTGGAGGTCACTTTGGGGTATAGAAAACATACATGAGATTGACTGCTAAATTATATTGGAAGGAGATGTACAAGGATGTAGAGGAGATGGTGGCAAGGTGTGAGGTTTGCCAGAGGAACAAGTATATGGCTATGGCTCCACGGGGGCTACTACAGCTCTTGGCCCTTCCAGGCAGAGTGTGAGAAGAGGTTTTTATGGATTTTATATAGACGGGCTACCCCGATCGGAGGGGTTTACAATTATTCTGGTGATGGTGGACTAATTAAGCAAATGTGCTCATTTTATTCCTCTACATCCTTACACGGTAGTAATAATGTCATCAACTTTCATTAGAGAGGCGGTCATATTACATGGGATAGCAGAGTCTTTAGTGTCCGATCAATATAAGGTGCTCCTCAATCACTTCTGGAGAGAGTTATTCAGGTTGTAGGGGATTGTATTGAAGAGGAGCACCGTTTATCACCCTCAGACAGATGGGTGGACGGAGATGGTCAATAGGAGCTTGGAGACATACCTGCGATGCTTTGCTTCAGAGACACCTCGGCTATGGGCTAAGTGGCTGACATGGGCATAATACTTGTATATCACTTCGTACCATTCAGAGTCCCAGATGACTCATTTCAAAGTGTTGTATGTCAGGGATCCGCCTCACTTGGTGCACTCTTGGCAGAGTAGTACACCAGTCTTTTTAGTAGAGTCGTACTTGGAAGAGCGGGATATGATATTAGAGGAATTGAACTCAGCAAATTATGAAAATGTAGGCTGATGAACATTGGAAGGACATTCGGTTTGAGATAGGGGATATAATGTATTTGAAGCTTTGTCTCTACAGGCAAAGGATAGTGGCTACTAGGATGAATAAGAAGCTGGCTTCGAGGCACTTTGGCCCCTACGAGATAGTGGAGAGGATCGGAGCAGTGGCGTATCGACTAAAGCTACCTCTAATTGCGATCGTACACCTAGTATTTCACGTGTTACAGTTGAGGAGAGTTATAGGGGATCACACCTCAATTGCAGAATTGCAGTGATGCTGATAAAGGATTTGGAGGTGGTTTTTGGAACCACTGGAGTTGATAATAGTACAACAAGGGGAGGGAGAATGTAAGCAAGTGCTGATTAATTAGAAAAACCTACATGAGTACAATGCTACTTGGGAGCCGTATGAGCAAATGAAGCATCAATTTTCATCCTTCCACACAAGATGATTCTTTTTGAGGAGGTTATCAGATTGGCCCAGGAGAGGCTGTTTCGGCCGGTCCAGAAGGGACTTGCCCAGTGTTATACACCAGGCAAAAGCCTAAGTGGAACTAGGCAAATCCTGCCCCCTTTGGGGTGGGGTCCAAGTCTTAAAGAAGAGAGAGAGAGAGAGAGAGAGAGAGAGAGAGAGAGAGAGAGAGAGGCAAGGAGATTTAGGTATTAGCTGCTTTTAATTGTGATTCTCCTGCTAGGGTTAGGATTATGTATTTTTTTGCTGAATTTAGGAGTTCTCTAAGTTTGCTTGGGCTCTAGTCCTCTCGAATTGAAGATCTATTGTATCTTTCTTATTTTCATTCACCTTTCATCTATTATTATGTTTTCGTATTGATTTGTGAAAGAGTTTCTTCAAATTTCTGTTTGTTCTTGATGAAATTTCAAATTTCAGCCTCTAATTTGATAATTTCTGCACTTGTTACCTATCAGAATGTTTTTATCGGGTTAAAGCTTTGTATCAATCAAAGTTTTAATAGTGGCTGCTTTTTTTCTGCTAAAGTATTAGAAGCTTGCTATAAAGATCTGAGCAATTGCAAAATATGTAATCTGCATAACTATACATCGGAAATTGTAGTATGCGCAATGTATACACCACTCTGGTACATTTCAAAATTTGAATGGTTCATATTAGAAAATTCAAGTAACATTTCCATTTTAAAAAGCTATAACAATTGTATACATAAAATTTCAGTAACATTTTATGAGATTAATGTCTCATATCTTTGTCATCATGTATTGCTGGCAGAATGGAATAATACCAATAACATTTTTTTTTCTTTTTCATCTCATCACAATGGTTTTTCCTGTGGCAGATTCCTGTAAGTCAGAGAAGTATTCAGTAAAAAAAAATTAGTTTGAGTTGAAAGTTAAACAGTGAACTTGATATCTTATGGCTAGTTAGGAGTTGTCAAATTAAGATGGCTTATTAGGTAGCTTGTGATGTTGTATCATTCAAACAGGAAATTACTGCTCTGTAGTTTTTAAACCATTAATTATATTGCGAAGTATAAAGAAAAGAAAAATTAGAGAAATTATTTAATTTCTTTCTCTTGGATAATATGCCTTTGGAGTCAATTGGAAGCATAAGCACAACAAAGGAGGCCAGCATGTATTATAATAGAACGTTGAATCTACATTTCTTTTATCCGAAAGTAGCCCAAGTAGCCTGTATCTTATTTGAAGCATTGATGAAGTATATTTTTTCCCTCCATGCCCTGAATTTAGTGCTTTATTTTAATTTTTTTGCTGACTGTAAATTACATTATTATGTTTTTGCAATGCAGTTTGGAGAAAAATGTAATGAGATACCCTTTATAATGTTGACATCAACTGGTCAGACCAAGCCAATTGAACAACTTCTCGTAGATAATGATTATTTTGGGTTCAATGCTGAAAAGGTGTGGTTTCATGTTTTTTGCAGATGATTATTGACTTGCAGGGTTAATATTTGACTAATATTTTTGGTTTTAGCACATCTTACTTTTCTACTCTAATTCCTTTCCTCCTTGTCTGCTGTCTCATTTTGATAACCACATAAATATATTTCATTGAATAGGAACCTTTATTGCAATATACATATCCATTAAATTTATCATCCAAGATATACAAGAGCCACTAGACGTCAAACTTTCATTTAAGATAACTTCAATATAATTTTTTACTTATTGCAACTGTAAAAATCAAAACAAATACATTTTTACGACAACTATATTTACCTATTAAAAGATGTCACACGTATGTTGTACATCAAATATGTTCTATTACGCATCTACCTCACATGAGATTTTTCTGAAAAATATTTATCAACTAATTGGGTGCATTATAAGGTTATAACCCGGTGGGCAAATCACAGTTCTAGGCGGCAATAATCTTAAGGAAGAAAAGAAAATATATATGACAATCTTCATATATTAATTATATAAATATTATAAATTTGGCATTTCATGTTCAAATGAATAATAGTTGTGACCATAAATATTATATTATAATCAGGTTTATAACTAATAATGGAATCATAACATTCAGTTTTATCTTGAAGGCATGAACATAAAAGAAAACATTTCACATCATATTTTATCCCTTAATATGAATATTTTGTTTTAAATTATTTTGAACCATGTTTGACTCATTTCCATCTTTTTCAAACCTAACAATCCATGTTCATATTTTCATTTGCAATAATTAAATAATTTGTGAGCATCAACTTTCTATCTATAGCAATCTAGTGATTCGTGGACAACATTCCATTTATATTTTGTAATTAATTCTAGATTTTAGAATTAAAGACTTTTTATATCAAAGAACAAGCTCACTCAAGAAGAAAAAAAAAATTGTGTTGCTAATTCCTCATGCAGTCTTTGTCAATTTTGGTAGAATGAATGATTGATGGTGTGGAGATGTGTTCATGCATCTATCTTCAAATAAGGTGTTGTGTCCACCCACCCCCATTTTAAATGCTAAACATACTTAAAAAAATGATAGTGATATTTGGTTTTGGCAATATTGCCTAGAACATCCAAGTGCTACTTATCTTGAACAACTAATTCTTTCTCTATTCACCAATAAAATTCAAAGTACTTTTAATATGAAATTTATCATCTGGCTAAACAAACTCATAGTTCCTATCTTAATAAAATTTATTTTTCCAACCTTTGCTTTAGTCTATAGTGATGTGTGGGGATCATCTAGAGTTAAAAAAAAAAAAAAAACTTTTGAGCTAGGTTATTTATTTCTTTCAACAATGTTCATAGTTGTGATACACATTTCATTTAGGTTTTCATAATGGAAAAAGATCTACAACAACAACAATAGTAAGCCTTTATCCCACTGTGGGGTCTGCTATATGAATCATTTTTCTCCATTGCATCTTATTAAGTGTCAAATTCACATTAAAATTTAATTAAAAAATTATTTTTAATACTTTCTAAATAAGCCTTTTAAGGTCTACCTTTATCTTTCTTTAAATATACTTAATATAATACATCTGCTTTCCTAGTAGGGTCATTGGAAGGTTGATATTTTATATGACCAAGCCATCTAAGACCACTATTTCTAATCTTATCTGCCACTTGAGCTACTCCAACCTTTTCATGTGTATACTCGTTTTGCATTTTATCTCTAAGCATAAAACTACTCATACTTGAGCATCCTCATCTCTACAACACTTAACTTAATTTTTTAAACATTTAAATACCTTGTCTACACTAAAATTAAAAATTCAAGTTCCATGAATGAACAATGTCAAAAAATATTTTGAATGTCTTAGAAAATTATCTCCTACATCATGGGATTATCTACCAAAACTTTTATGTAGGCATCTCAACAAAATGGAATGATTGAAAGAAAAAATAGACACCTCTTAAAGGTGGATATTTTTTTAGTATAATGCCCTAAAAAATTTTCAAATTTAAAATCCTATTCAAAATCTTCTCTATTCTTGTTTCAAGACCAAAATCATTATTTTGTTCCAACAAAATTTTTCGGTGTTTAATCTTTATTCATATTTATTCTCAACATCGGAGCAAATTTGACCTAAATATGGATTTAACCTTTCTTGAACACCAACATTACTACTTTGACCTTGAAATTCAAGGATAGAAAGTTTAAGAATAAGAGTTTCAAGTTTGAAATATATTTGATCATCCACCATTCTCTCTTATCAAATCCATAGACAGTGAACGTTTCCCATTGCCCTCATTTAACTTACTAACCTAATTAGAACCACAAACTCTTGCATCACCCTATTAGTATATGGAACCTAATGAAGCCTCATTAGAATCACAAACTCGCTCATCATGTTGTTAATGTACCCAAATTGGCAGGATGAGCTTTATGTCTATACTAAGAAGGGAAAGAAAAATCAAGAATTGGAGCTATCAACAAATCTCTAGTACACGTAATAACTTCATTGGGCTCAAGGACAATGCACTGTGAACTAGTGAGAATCAATCCATAGCATTATGCTAGTTTCTGCTATCTTGTTGACTTAAAGAAATGGGTAATGTCATGCATTAACCACCAAATCTATGATTTCAGGCTTATAGAAGGCTTTTACTTGGATTTCCCACTTTATTTTTTACTTTTCTTGATAAAATATATATTCCAAATATTGTTCATGATGCTCTCAAATCTCCTAATTGGAGGAAAGCTATAATGGAAGAATTTTAAGTCTTAAACAAAAATGGTATGTGTGAACTTTTTGAACCTACATTTGGAAAAAATATTGATGGGATGAAAATAGATCTTTACAGTCAAATATAAAGTAAATGACATCGTAGATTTTAAAGCTTGACTTTTTGCAAAAGTGTACACCCAATCATATGATATTGACTATTAAGATATTTTCTTTTCCATTGTTGAACTCAACACAATTTGAGTTTTGCTCTCTGTAGTTGTAAATTTAGACTACTTACCTTTACAGTAACTTAATATTAAGAATGGTTTTATTGATGGATATCTTAAGGAGGAAGTATGCATGGACATCCCACATTGATAAGAAATTCAAAGAAGCACTAATAAGGTAGGTATGTAGATTCAGAAAAGTTCTTATGATTTCAAATAATCTTCCTGTTTATGGTTTGATAGATGCTCCAAAATTTGTTGAACATTGTGGTTACACTCAGTGCTAGTTAATCACACAATATTTGTTAAGACCTCACCTAAAGGAAAAAAAAATGATGATTTTGATATTGCATGTTGACAATATTATATTGTTAAGCGACTTTGATGAAGAGCTAAACAGACTAAAGATATTTATGGTAGAGGTAAAATATTTGAGAATGGAAGTGGCAAGATCAAAACAAGATTCAATTATTTCTCAAAGGATACACGTTCATGATCTACTTAAAGAAATAGAAATGCTTTGATGAAAGCTTGAATTAGCTCAAATGGACCCAACAAAGAAAATTGGGATCACCATTAACAACATAGTTGTTGATAAAAGGATGTATGAAAGTTGTAAGCAAATTCATTTGCCTTTATATTGAGTTCCCTATTAGTGTTGTAAGACGATACATGATAACCCTACTGCAGTTCAAGTGAAAGTTGTGAACAACATTCCAAATTACCTCAAGGTGACAATATGAAATTGCCTATTAAAAATTCAATTAACAAGAAAATTAAAATTTTCATATATGCTAACTGGAATAGAGACTCATCAGATCGAAGATTCACCTCTGGCTATGTTAATTATTTATGTAGAAGCTTGGTTACTTGAAGGAGTTAGAAGTGGTTTATGGTCTCAAAAAATAAATATTGAAGCTGATTACAGGACTGTGACACTTTGTATTGTGAAACAACGTGGTTAAAAAGTTTGTTAAAAGAAAGTAAACTATCAAGTGAAAAAAATCTAACTGTATTGTGACAATCTGAGTGTCATAAATATTGCAAAAAACTTTGTTCATCATGATTGAACTAAACGTATTGAGATGAATTGATATTTCTTCTCATGAAAAATTGATGACAAAAAGATGGACAAAAACAAAAAAAAATTTCTTGACCGAATTATCAGCTTTACATAAGTAATGTCAGTCACCATGTTTTAAATCATTACATGGCCACAACCGAACTGCCAATTTTGGCGGTGTAAAATTATTTGCTTATTATAATTTTTCCCCATTATTTTGCATTAATTGCAACATATTTCCTTGATTTCAGGTTTTGCTTTTAGAGGAAACAAGGCTCCCGATAGTAAGCAAATCAGTAGACAGCAAGAAAATATTATTAAAATCATCGTGGGAGATACTACTTGCACCAACAGGATCTGGAGGAACTTTTGCTTCTCTTTTGTCCCAAAAAGGTGTTGATTTTCTTCAGGAAATGGGCGTGGAATATGTTCAGGTAAGAATCAAATTGCATCTATCATACTAAGAATTTCTATTAAGTTTTATTTCAATCAAAGAATTTCCAAGTGATTGTTTACATAACATTGGGTATTGCCTTTTGTCTTCTGAGGGCAGTTTCCATTGTGTAATGTTTTGACCTTAAAATGAATTGTTCTCCCTAGCTAGGTTTATAGAGGTCCTATCAACGCATGTACTTAGAACTGTATGACATGACTTGTACATTTAGCATTCTTTTTAATATTTTATGAATTGAAAGCAGGGTATAAGTCCAATTAAGATAAATAAATAATAGAGATCAGTTGCAAATAAAGAGGGTTCTGATTATTTATAGGTCGAGTTTCACACTGGGAGCTAAATGATATTTAGTTTAAGGGCTAGGCATTGGCATTTAAGTGATGGATTATTAACATCAGGATTTAAAGCAGCCCTTATAGGGTCCTTATCAACTTGTCCTAGTCCAGTTACCATAAACAGAAGTATTTATTCAATGCCTCACCCATTAACACCTAAGCATGGAGAAAGAAACCAAAATAAAAAATAAATATTTATATGAATTAAATAAATATGAAGTAAGTTAATAAAACAATAATTTTCTTTCAATTTGTCATCAAATAAAAATATTTAAATTTATTAAATATTTTAACTCAATTTAGGAAGAAATAGATACATGATATTATAAACTGTTATATTCAAACTTAGAAAATTGATTACTGTTGAAAAAAAAGAGACATTATAAAAAAAAGACTTACATTATAAAAAAAAAGAGACATTATAAAAAAACTAAAAAAAGCGGCATGATAAAAAAAAGAAAAAGAGACATTATAAAAAAAAAATAGAAACATGGTATTATAAACTGCTATATTGAAACTTTGAAAATTGATTACTTTTGAAAAAAAATAAAATGAGACATTATAAAAAAATCATAGGTAGATGTAGCTAGATAAAGAAAATAAAATAAGTATGAAGTAGTTATCAAGTTATATAAGTAATATATTTTAAAATAAAATAAAATAGATGACTAATTATTCATATAATAAATTTTTAGAATTAAAATTTTTTATTTCGAGGATGCATTTGTCGGACAACTACGTCCACTTTTTTTTTACTTTTTTTAATCAAACATGTAAATGATGTAGGTGTTGTAAATTACGTGTCCAACATAAAATGTCACTATTGCAAGGTGTTGGCTTAAGATCTTTCCTTTTAGTAGAAAAAAATAATACTCGTCTTCCTAGGAGGGCAAAATACATTTCATTTTGTGTTTCCGTGTTTATACATGAGAAGTAGTCATCAGCACTCACTTTTATCAAATAAATTTCCTTGAACATCTAAGCATATTTTGTTCTTTGGAATTCTTGATATCTACAAAGGACCATCTCCTTTAAGAAGTCCAGCCTTGGTTTCAAATTACTCAAAAAAAAAAAAAACCCAAATTTTTTTATAAAAAAAAATTTTATTCCAAAAAAAAAAAAAAAACAGGATAGGATACATCATTCAAAGAAACAACACGACAAGAGAGCGAGTAAAAATACAAGGTAAGAGGGCTCAGTTAAAGGCTGAGACTTCTAGCTTCCTTTAAGCCAAGCTATGATCATCCAATTTAATGAAGAAACGCACCAGCCTATCCAAGCCATGATCAAGAGGCCAGCATTTGGGAGTTAATTTAACACTCCAAAACCAGAGAATTACACATCTCTTGTTTGCAGATGATGTATTAATTTTTTCCCAAGCTTCTTCAACAGCGGCCCAAGAACTGAAAACTATTGTTTCAGATTTTTGCACTTGGTCTGGACAGAGAATCAATGCTTCCAAATCTCAGATTTTATTTGGGAAGATGGTGAAGCTTCCAATGAAGAAACACATAAAGAAGAAGTTGGGTTTCAATGTGGTGAAAGAAATGATTTATCTGGGTGTTAAAATGGCTCTAAGAAGACTTAGAACATTTGATTTCCAACGAATGATAGACCTTATTTTACAAAGGCTAAATGCTTGGGGAAGCAAGCAACTTTTCATGGTTGGTAAGATCACTTTGGTTAAATCTTCTCTCCTAACCTTACCAAGTTTTTTATCAACTCATTCTTTGATTCCAAAGAAAATTTTGCATCAAGTTGATCAATTATGTAAAGAATTCATATGGCATAAAGGAATGGGCAAAAAGGGATTACACTATGTTGCATGGGATGTTTAATGTAAACCAAAATCTGAAGGTGGCTTGGGATTACATTCAGCTGTCCAACAGATAGGACCCCTTAGATCAAGGCTTGCTTGGAGATTCATTCAATATCTAGACAATCTTCTACATAGGAACATTATTACTAAATATGATGATAATATTTTTGAAGGGAAGAAAGCCGGCTCATTAGCATGGAAAATTTTGCTGAATGGTGGAAAGCATCTCAGGCCCATTGTTAAATGGATAGCTGCTAATGGAAAGAAAATAAATGTTATGAATGACATTTGGCTCTTGGATAAATGCCTCAACTCTTGGCCAACACTTGCTGCTTGTGTAGAATTAAATAATGTTAATCTGCATATGTTTATTCTGGCTGATGGCTTTTGGAATAAAATTTTGCTGCAGAATTTCTTCAACTTAGATCTCATTAAGCTGATTCTACAAGTCAAAATTGATCATGAAGCTGAAGAAGACTATTTGGAAACCATTTATAGTCACAAGGGTAAGACTATAACTGCTATGGCTTATGAAGAATCATTAAAGTATCATTCTAAGGAGCAAGACTGTGATTTTACTGATTGGATTAGAGGCTTAAAACTGAACCTGAGAGTCGAACTTTTCTGGTGGAGGATGAGCAAATTTGCTATCCCAACTTTTGAATTTCTCAAATATAGAAATTTAAGCCAAAATGAACAATTTCCAAGAGATTGTCTGATGGTTGAGAACTATGAGCATATAATAGTTCATTGCAAATTTATAAAAGAAATCATTCTTAGATTAAGAGAATGGGGTTTCTTCATTCCTTTATTCCAATCTCTTGATAATTGCCTTGAAGAACTAAGAAGACATTCCTCTCGTTTCCCAAACATGGTGAAAATTTATCTTACAGCAGTCTTTCTATCTTGGAAAAATAGAAATGACTTGGTTCATGGTAACTCCGTTTCTTCTAGCTCCTTTGTAGCAGCTAATGTGCAATTTTTGGCAAAGCAGAATTTATTCCCTAATCTAGATAACTGGGGTGCTAATCTCCTAAGGGAGTTTACTAATGCTTGGCACCCCCCACCGCTAGATTGGATCAAAATAAATGTTGATGCATCTTTATTGAAGACAAATCAAGCCGCAATTGGAGGTGTATTTAGAGACCACAAAGGAAGGCTTTTGTTGGCTTTCGAAAAAAAGAAAATTCGTTGGGATATTTCTCAACTTGAATTAGATGCTGTTCTAACTATAAAGGAATTTATACAACCTTGGATGCTTGATGCTAAAGGAGTTATCATTGAAGGTGACAACAAAAATATCATCAACTTCATTCAAAATTCTTTGAATAAGTTTAAATGGCACTTAAACACATGGTATGATAAAGATCTCTTATTTCTCAATGATTTTAATAAGGTTTTCTTTAATCATGTTCATAGAGATTGTAATAAAGTAGCGGATGGTTGTGTTACTTTAGCTTTAAGCAATGATTTTTGCTTTGATAGTTTCTCTTTTGCCGACATTCCTTCTAAATTGTCTAGCTTGTTAAAGGAATGTGAGGTTTCTATTTCTTGTAATTAGTTTCCTTTCATTAATGCTATTTGCATTTTTCAAAAAAAAAAAAAAAAAAAACCCAAGCCATGATCAAAGGTTACCATGAGCCAGCCGAAGGACAAGCGAGCCCCAGCTACATCATTGCCCTGCCAAACGAAAAAAAATCGGAGAGCTCCAACTTATGCAATGGCATCAAGCAACAACAAATAAAGGCAACCACCCTCACCAAAGAACCAACCAGACCAGCCAAAACACAAACCCAGAAAATTGCAACCCAGAAAATAGCAACCAAAAGGCAACCACCACAAAATCCATGGCCATTACCAACCACGCCTTACCACGAGAAGCAACAGAAACAACTGATGTATCATGCAACAAAGCAAAAGGATTACCGGGATCGTTAGCCCCACTAGACTCAAAAGATGAAACGAACTCGGAATCAAACGAACCATGAAGCCAATCGATATGCTTTCTCACATCCATACCGAAATTATTCCCCACATGAGAAACCAAGGCTTGAGGTTCAATAAAGTTCACCGGCACATCAACACAAGCATTATGAACAACATCAAGATTAACTGAAGTGTCCACTTCTAAATTAACCGAAGAGCAACCAACCTGATAACCAGGGGACAATTTCTTAATGGATCCAGAGGAATCAGATCGCTCAACAGCCATTAAATGATCAATATTTTTAGTCAAAACGCATGGGTCACTTAAAACCGACAAAGAATTAACTTCACAACCCAGCAAACCGCCATCACTAGAACATCCCCGAACGCCCTGCTCAGCAATAGCCAGGGCATCCACAGACACCATACTCGTAAGGTTAACAACAGGTGCACCAACCACATTAGGAGCAACACCATGATTTACAACAGCATTATCAAGGGGAATCCCAACCTGAGCCACAACCGGACTCAAAGGCTCACCAACAAAAGCATCAGCAGGCCCAACTTCAGCCAAATCCGGGACCTAGAGAGAGTTAGGAGAGACTCTACCCGTGACAACATAGTCAACACCTAAAACCCCCTCCTTAGCAAAAGAGACAATAACTGGGTCAGAAGAAGGCTCAACAGAGCCATTCACAACCAAATCCTTACCAACCCGACAAACAACCCCCAACGATTGAGAAGGGGGAGGCAATGCAGAGGAATCAAGGTTAGGATTAAGAATTTTACAACTCGTTTTTGAATGACCCAAAGCTAAATAGTGCGCACAATACTTAGGAAAGTCTTCAAAAATAACAGATTGAACATACCCAAGACTATTCGAGCCGATCCAAATTTTGTTCGGATACTGTTTGGACACATCCAGTTCAACTAAAACGCGAGCAACAGATGGACGAGACCTAGAGGAGGTCGCATTGTCCGTCTTCAAGGGTTTGCCAAAAATCTGACGTAATCCGTGCATAATACGCGTAGCTAACAAATGAGGCCGTAAGTTAGGGAAGGAAATCCAGATGGGGATAATAGGTGATTCAACCTCAACATCCAAAGTAGGTGACCATTTAATCACTTTCATAAAGCAATTACGTACAAAATAAGATCTATGAGCAAAAACCTGACAGTAATCTAAGTCATTAAAAAGTTTGATCAAGACATTTCACTAGTTTAAAATAGTGACGGAAACCTCTCCATTAAGCTTAAGCTTGAAGAAGAAACTCCTAATAGCTTCAAGACAAGGTCTACGGACTGGAAACTTACCCACTAGAGCAAGTTCAAACGGGGCAGCCAGCGACGCGATTTCCGCCTCGGAAATCCACAACGCCGGCAAGTCCCGATGAGAAGAAACCTTGAGCTCGGGAAAACCACCAGAAAGAGGGGAAGAACCAAAAAGTGCATTTTTAAACGAAAGAGAAGACGAAGCATCCAAAAAAATAGGGTCACGAAAACGTGGAGGCGCCATAAAACGCAGTGCGAAGAAAGAGAAAAAGGAAAAACAAACTTCCCTGAACAGGCGAGGAAAAGCAGCCAGCACCACAAGGGAGGAGATGCCGGAACGGGCGGCTAGGGCGATATGCCCTAGCACACCCCAGAGAGCAAAAGGGAAAAGTCGCAGACATCTGAGTTTTCAAATTACTTCTCAGCTTGCTTTCATCCATTCTACACGTTACTGTAAAGTGAAACTTACATGCATAGCACTGAATTTTGATGAATTTTCATATATAATATCTAAATTTTTACATTTACTTATATAACACTTTAACTTCTAAAAAAAGATCAAAATATATGCATGCATATCTATATTTGGCTGCAGATAAGTTAATATTATGTTATTTAGAGAGTAAGATTATATAACAACAACAAATATTAAACATGGGGTTCTTCAAAATTTCAGAAAAAAAAATAACAATATTAAACATTTATCCCACTATGTGAGGTCGGGTATATGAATTTTTTTTCTCTATTGTGTCATGTTAAGAGTCAAATTCTCATTTAAATCTAATAAAAAAAATATCATTTCTAATATTTTCTAATCATGTCTTAGCATAGACCGAATCTAATATCTACTCTATGATGCAACCAACACTTCTCCTCAAAGTGACATGCAGTATTCGACATGACACGCATCTGACATTCCTCTAATTCATACAGACACGTCTAAAATGTGTTAGATTAAAAAATATAAAATACAAATTAGACATGTGTGTTTTAAATGTTTTATGATTTTTTAAAAAATATAATTTCTTGTTTTTAAATAATAAATACTAAATTTCTTATTTACTATCCACAACACTAAATTAATCGCCCGCACTCAATACTTCATTCATTGAATATTGTCATTTTCATTTCTCTTTTGTGGATTGCGACTTTTGTTTCACAACAATGTCTGATGTCATCTCATCGATATTTTGTGTCATTACAACATCGACATTTTAAAACCATCTCAACGTTAATGTCCGACACTGTCTTGACATTGATACTTAATGCAAGCAATTTCTACACCAAAAGCTTGACAATTCATCTTTTTTCTACGTCTTTTTAACATCGATGACTAATATCATCTCAACGTCAACGATAGATGTCCTCTTGACATTGATGCCTGAGTATCGACAGTATTGATGTCTCCTCTCTCGATGGTTGATACATGACATCGATGCCCGACTCTCGACATCCTAATATTAATTATTTTAAGAAAAAATTCTAATTAAATGACTATTATTTCTAAATTATTTTTTAATATTATAATTATTCAATTTTTTTACACTATTTTTAAAATATAAAAATTATAATAGCATGTCCAACTAGTGTTCATGTCCTATATTTTCAATAACTGATGTGTCCGTGTCGTGCATATCCGTGTTGCCGTGTCCGTGTCTGTGCATCATTGCATTTACTCTCCGAACTAGATCATCAGAAGGCTGATGTTTTATGTGACCAAACCATCTATTTTGTCTTTATTTACACATTAATATATTATATAAATAAATATAAAAAAAGATATTATATATGTATATGTTTATAGATACATCAAAATTCTTTTACATTTAAAACTTCGCTAATAAAAATCATTTCTGACTTCGTTTCTTTCTACATTCCGTTTTACAGGTATGCTCTCTCAGTGAAAGAAGTGCCTTCGGCAGCCCATTATTTTTTGGTTGGGCAAGCTCCTGTGAGGCAAAAATGGCACTCAAAATCCCTATGAACACAAAGGAAGAAGATAATTACGATATCATTTTCTCCGCAGAGAAATTGCGAATGATCTGCAAACAAATCGAAGCACTCTCGTTCCAGGCTATTCCAGAACAACATGAATATGTTGAACAGGTTGATGGAGAATGGACAAAAGTTAAACCAAGCTCTTTCAACTCCTTCAGGCTTCACTGTTCCATATATAGCGCATTGAAGCTCTGTAGTGTGGATGAGGTATGTGTTATGCAGGTACTGGAATAAGGTTTTATTTTATTTTTAATGTTGACCTTTCCTTGTCAAGTAAATTAAGGTTTGTATATTAAATTTTATTTTTATTAGGGGAAATTTCGGGTCAACAATTTTTACCCAATTTTTGATAGTTAGGATGAGCTCTAAAAAGGGTAATGCATTTTTAAGTGATGTGAAAACATTTCACATTTGATGTGGGTTATCATAAAAAGAGTTGTTTGTCTTAATATTTTATTATTTAATCAGATTGTGTAGTACATATTTTCATGAATTTATATTTTGTTTTTACGAATTGAAATTAAAATTAGCATATGAACTTAGGATATAGATTTTCTTACAGGCAAATTAATAAATATTATGATCTATATGAAGATAAATATTCAATGCATTCAGGAAACTAAATGGATTGGAGCGAAGGCTAAGAAGATTAATAGTTTATGATTTAAACTATGATATTCTTGTATGAGTCGTATTAGAAATGGTGTTGGAGTGCTTATAAATAAGATATTGAAGGTTAATATTGCAAAAAATTATAGAACTGGATATATAATTATAGTTTTAAAGATTATTGTTGATGCTAAGATTATTAATATTATAAGTGTTTATGCTGCTCAAGTAGCTTTGGATATGTGTTTAAAATTAAAATATTGAAATGACTTAGAAGAATTAATACAAAAGATACTTTCCGAACAAAGAGTTTTTATTGGAAAAAATATAAATGAATATGTTGGTAAATAGATAGATGATTTTAAAATCATTTATGGTGGCTATATCTTTGGAGTGACTAATAAATGTTGTAAGATTATATTCAATTTTTATTTAGGTTATAATTTTGTAATTATTAATACCTTGTTTAAGAAAAGAGTATAGTAAAACACCGATTATTTTCTTATAAAAAAAAATAGATCGTTTAAATTAAAAATTATAAAATTATTTTGAGTGAAAGTTGGATGTACTCAATATGACTTCCAATTAAGAGGTTTAGGATTAGAGTATGTGCGAGTTTACTTTAAATGGCTTAAATGTTAAAAAAAAAAATTATTATAATAATTATTTGAATGAAAATTATTTTATTTTATAATAAATAAATCAACTCACGAGCAAGCTCAAATTTATATAATTAAATTTAAATTAAGTCAAAATTATTTTTATAAAGGTACATATAAAGTAATAAATGATGTTTAAAAATTGAATTGATATGTTTAATTAATTTTTTCATAATTTAAAATTTATAATAAATGCAAAAATAGCTACACTTTTCTTTCATATAAAAAATTAAAAATTTATACAAATTATATTGAATTTCAAAATTATCATTGCCAATAAATTATAATTTAAAATAAAAATACAGACAATAGTATGCGATTTGAATGAATTTGAAATGCATCAAGAAAAAAAAATATAGAATGTATTTAAAACTACTTATATATCGTTATTTTGCATCAATTTAAATTAAAACCCAACATCAGAATGTATTCTTATCATTTTTCATCTCTAATATTTTCAACTAGACATCACCCTTTATTTACATGACTGAGGCAGCGTTCCCATCATCCCAACCAAACACCCATTCTCCAGCTTTGCTTCTTTTCAACATTCCACCCACTGGGAAAATAAAATTAGTCTTAAACACAAACCAACCGGTATAAGTCAATTGAGACAAAAAAAAGTAAAACCTGAAGGCCTAATAAATAGCTAGCAAATCCTCTGCATGCCAAACTCGGTCGCCACAACTTTCCGGTGATCACTTGAGATGACGGTGGCGGTGGTGGCGGCGATGTCTGGCTTGTTTCCCAAAGGAATACAAGAAGACTTAAGTGGTTTATAGTGATGGGAGGATTGTTCTTCCTCAGCTACTCTCTGGTTTTCTGACAAAGTGGGTCTTCTGTGAAAGCCGCCGGAAGGAGGAGGACCAGGTTGCGGTGGAGGCGGCAAATTACGGATCAGCCGTCGAGGGTCATAGGGGTGTTTTATGATTCCGTTCTCTAACGGCATTACTGGTCCTATATCTTTTCCAGGCTTTGCTGAAAAGGTAACTTTCATCTTTATAAGAATGGACTAAAATGAAAAGCTGGAGTCTGAAGGAAAAAAGAACAAACCAAGTGGGATCTTTTGAGAGGCCTGTGAAAACCTTGCCATTTGTCCAGGAAAACGCTGAGCATGTTGAGGACTAGCATTAGAATCCTTGGGAGGTACTGTGGTTGAGTGGATCATTGTTGCTCTGCCAAAAATACAACAAAAAATGCGCTTTAGAATCCTACAAATCTGCAGACCCGAACTCTACAACTCAAATGGTAAATACATCCTCCATCATTTATCCCAATAATTTATCTGGAGTTGCTTTTACAATCCTTATTTTCCATTCGATCCTACTATGTATTTTCTAAGGTATCAAACATATTCTTCATAAATCATTTTAATCTTATCCTCTACTGGAGCTACTCCAACCTTTTCACGTATATGCTCATTTCGTATCCTATCTCTAAGGGTAGCTCCGACTACTCAAATAAAACCTATCTATCTTGACATTCTCATTCTGCCAAATTCAACTTATTTATATAAATGACCGTTTTACCATCAGCACTCTGCTTTATATAAAATCACTAGCTTAAATTCATAAAATCAAATGCAACCTTCAATAGTTATGTTTAATAGGTGCATAAACAAAAAAAAGTGGGAGGAAAGCCTAGAGGTGTAAGTTATTCACACTCACTACTTAAAAGGACAACACTATCTTGTTTCAACTTGACCGTTTAGCTCAATTCATTAACAACTCCATGCCCGTAAGTCCTTACAAATCTGGTTATTTATGATATCAGCTCTTAAGGTTAACAACCTCTGATGCCATTGGAACCTAACATTATTCCTCACTTCTCTTTCTCAAAAAGTGTTCAATAAACCCAAAATATCATGAAGGCTAGCCCGCATCACATTATGTCAAGATATTTTATTTATGAATTAGCTGCAACAATTTACAGTAATTTCCAAAATACCTGGGAAGAGAAACGTGCTTCCTCTCAAGTGGCGTTACAGGAGCACTTTTACCTCCATTTTCTTCAAGGTGAGCAAATTGCCTTCTAAATTGATCAACAGCACTGCGCAAATGAGAGAACGTACCAACAGTGATAAGCATGGAATAAATCATTTAACTGGAGAGTAAAATAATCAAACAAAATAGCAAAATCAACCTTGGATAAAGGAAATTTGTTCTCTCGGTTCCATTCACGTAATCTTTGAAAAGTTGAGGGTGATACTCCAAAATCTCACAAAAGATGAGCTCCCTGATATCCTCTTTCGACACTCTTCGTCTCTCAAATTCAAACTCCATTTTTGTGATTGGTTGGCATGAGGGCTCTCTTTCCACTTTAGCTAAGCCCTTGAAGTAAGGATCCGCCAATGCCTAAAAGCAGACGATATCAACAGTAAAGTCATCTCCCAACAAGTCCCATGTAAATTTATTTATTTTCCCGTGAAAGCTCAAAAGGCATAATTGCATTAATCAACAGAGAAATCACATAAAATCCTCAAATAATCAGATTCATACCTCTTCAGCTGTTGGCCTGTCCTTCGGATCAAATGCTAGAAGCCTTTCCAAAAGTTTGAGAGCTGAAGGATCTGCATTTGGAAACTTACGTGAAAATGGTATGTGTTGCTTTTTCCTCATGCTGCTCAGATACCGCCTTGCCTTCTCATTTCGTACCTAGACTCAAACAAGAAATTCATAAGATCTTGCTTTTAGATTAATAAGCTTGGAACTATTGCACCAAAACCCTAAATCACCATACCCGAGAAATGGTATCCATAGAAGGTGTTCCAAGAAGATCGGTCATCAAATCCAGTTGATGGACCACATTTTTCCCAGGAAATAAGGGCTTCCCCGTTAAAACCTCGGCAAAAATGCAACCTATGCTCCAAATGTCAATGGCAGGCGTGTACTGCAAATGCAGAATAAATCATTTGATTATATTCTGATCAGGATTTTAAAAGAAAGATGGTTGCAAACAGGTTTATGTAAATGAAATCAATATAAAGGTACCTGAGGTGCAAAATTTCAGCTTGCATGGGGTTCAAAATAATTCCTGACCAAGCAGTTTTTTAATCACTAGAAATGACCGTGCAATGATAGTTTAGAAAAGCAATCAGATAACGTGCTAAGTTCCATCATCATAATGTACAATTAGTACTACGTTTAAGCCTAAATCATCAGAAGGTTTATCAACACCCAAACATCTAACATGGCTACAGCCGGATCTTTAGCAGAGCAAATAAAACATAAGGGAGGACACTAGTTAAATAAAGCAAAGAGAGGAAGGCTTCCTTTCAACAAGAGATTAGATGCCTCCTCAATTAAGAAAATTAGGCTATTATGATTTACGTACTAAATCTATGAGGCACTTATCAATGGCACAACAAGAACCTATACGCATAAATTACAACTACCAAACAATGCCCATATCTCAGTAGCGGAACAAATAATCAAACATGACAAGAAATTATGATTTTATCTTGTCGGTTTATTATAAAGAACAAAAGTGAAGTCAAATGCTTAAGAGGTTATTTGGTTGCCAGCATTACTGGTGCATTGATTCAATTTTCTTGCATTTCAACATTTTTGGTCTTCCGTTGAAGCAAATGAAATATAAAGTAAAAATTAGGACGATTTGAAATACCCCAGAATTTGAATTTACACTATATTTAGAAATCATCCAAATTGGGCAAAATTTCGCTTGAGATTCCCCCTGGACATGACCCCCTCAGCCTCCCTCCCTTTGCCCATGCCCACTCGCTCAGCATTTCAACACATTTGAAATGTATCATAACAAATATTAAAAAAATAAAAAATCAACACAATGAAATTGTATCCAACCAAATCATTGCATTTCTAAAATGTAAGCATTCTAGTTACTTCGTATTTCTAAAATGCATATACTTTGAAAACATCCAATATAACAAACCCTAAAACAATCCAAATTTATTTCGCAATAGCATTCATGATTAGAACTTGTCCGATAATTTTCATGGTCGAAAAGATTACCTTAGAGAAGAATGAGCCACATAGCTCAGGTGCTCGATACCATCTTGTAGCAACATAATCCTACATATCACATTTTCAAAGAAAATAATAAGTCTCTTAGTCACATATTAAAAAATTTAAAAAAAAATAAGTAACCAAGAATCCAAGATAATAACTAAACAAGTAAAAACATACCGTCCAAAATATTGTCATGGGTGTATCACTAAATGCAACCCTGGCTAATCCAAAATCACAAATTTTGAGCTTGCAATTTGCATTTGCTAATATATTCTTTGGCTTCAAATCTCGATGATAAACATTAGCTGCGTTAGCATTGCCCAACTTCAGTATACACAAAGAATAAAAAGCTTTGCAATAATCAAAATGGTCATTTTGTATGAATCAAAAGTACAGATTGTGCAGCATAATGAGTAATCCAAAATTAAGAAAAAAGAAACCTGAATCAATATAACAGAAAAAAAAAACTGGGTTTAGATTATAAAATTTTAACCAAAAAGATTGCTAAATAACATATAACTGAATAAAAAGTAAAAAAAAAATCTATAAAAATTCTATGAATCACAGCATACAGATTTTTTTTAAAATATTTAAAAATGCCTAAAAGGTTGAAAGTAAAAAGGCTTCAATCTATCAAAATTCTATGAATCACAGCATACAGAACAATTTTTTTCATATTTAAAAAGGCCTAAAAGGTTGGAAGGCAAAAAGGCCTCATTCTGTTATCATGCAAATGCGTGTACAACACAGAAGTTCCTTTTTAATCATTAGGTGAATGGTAAGTGAAGATTGCTAGAATAAGGATGATGTAGAAGATGACAATGATAAACAAGAATACCAGCATCAAATATGAAAAACCAACAAACTAAAAGACTATCGAAATTCTAACTATTGTTATTATTCAATGCATGAAATCATGCAACAAATGTTTGTTTGAAGAAAAAATGACTAGTAAGTCAAACCTACAGTCATATTAGCATCATGAATCCTAAACTGATAATTACTGAATCAAAAAAACTACTTCGGGGGATTTAAAAAGCAATAAACAAATTAAACACATCATATTTTAAAGCACCAAGAAAAAAATTACATCAATGCCCTTACTGGTCAAATTCAACCATATATCATATAAAAGTAGAACTAACCAGTATGGATATATTTCAAAGCACGTAGAAGTTGATAAAGAAAGAACTGGTAATGCTCTTTTGTTAAGTCATCATTAGCCTTAATAACTTGATGAAGATCAGACTCCATAAGTTCAAAAACAACATAAATATCTTTAAAATCCTTTCTTGATGGGGGCAGCATGATGTGCTTTATATCTACAATGTCAGGATGTCTAAGAAGCCTAAGAAGCTTGATCTCACGAAGAATTCTAGCAGCATCGGAGATGTGCTCAAAAATATCATGTATCTTCTTGATAGCCACTTTTTCTCCTGTAAGTGTGTCAATGGCAGAGCATACAACTCCATAACTTCCTTTTCCAATGACCTCAAGAATTTTGAATCTGTTGGCATCCCCATATTCAGAGAAGAAGTCCATCTCAGGTGCACTCTGAATTGTATAAACAAAAACCATTGTTATTACAGTACATGATTAAATTGAATAAGCGCAGAAACAAATTATTGAAGATATAATAGCCTATTAAAACTTTATAAGCCTATTAAAACCTTACAGATTAAGAACAAAACTCATTGCCATGAAATGTTTTCCAGGTCGAGTAAGAATGGTCAATATGCATATAAAGTGGGCTTCTATGGTGATAGTGATGGTAGAAGAATAATGAACAAAATTTGAAGTTTTCGGTGGAGAAAGCGCTTCATAGACGGATAATGAAAGCAATCATATTATTTTTGTTTTGATGTAGATTACAAGAACATTGAGAAAAAGAGCGTGGAAAGCAGAAATGAAGAAATTATGTGGTGCAAATTTGGTTTGAGAAGTCTCAAAACAACCCACGCATCATGATGGGTCGGAAACACCGAAGAAAGCAATAAGCTTGTTGCGGGCTAGAATATACGCGGAAATAGAGTTAAAATCCTATGTCTTAGCATTTGCACGGATATCCAGCTTACACATAGAGAACACGAGATTTTTTGAGTGAAGAACCCTAGAAAGGAGAAAAATTAAGGGGCCTAGCCTAGTCTAAATGATTCCACTAGTGTTTGGGTAGATTACAATGGGCTGACTCGTCACTGAGGGTGATCAGATTACAAATATCAACCGTATGGTTGAAATCTAGCGAAAAATGGGGATGAAAGTCTGGTATCACTTGATGGTCTGGTGGAAGTCCAACGTTACTTGAAAATTCGGGCGTCATTTGGTAGCCTGGAAGTGGTTTGGCAGTACTTCAACGTCGGACAGAACTATGGCTTTTGGCGGTGGTTCGGAAAAAGTTCGAGTCTCAGGTGGTGATCCAGTAAAAATCCAAGCCTTCGGGCCTCAGGTGGTGGTCCAGCAAAAATCCGGGCCTTAGGTGGTGGTTCGGCAGAAGTCCGGGCCTTAGGTGGTGGTCCGACAGAAGTCCGAGCCTCAGGTGGTAGTCCGACAAAACTCCGGACGTTAGGTGGTGAATCAGCAGAGCTCAGGGCCTCAAGTGGTGGTCTAGCAGACTCTGGGCCTCTGGTCGTGATTTGGCGGAGCTCAGAGTATCAAGTGATGGTCCGGCGGAACTCTGAGCCTCAGGTGGTGGTGAGGTAGAGCTCAAGGCCTCAAGTGGTGGTCCAGCGAAACTCCGGGGCTCAGGTGGTGGTCCGACGAAACTCCAGGGGGTGGGCGAGGAGGCAAGAGCGATATCTAATCTCTCTCTTTTCTCCTTAGGCTTATGGGTCTATTTTGAAGAGGAAGGAGGGGTCTATTTATAAATTTCCTAGAGTGGTGTGGCCCGTAAATAAGAGGAAGGTCAAAGTTAAATGAGGAGTGGTTTGGATGGACAGCCGATGTTGAATCCTTTGATCGTGGATCGTTCGTTAGACATTTGAAGGTCTTAATGATGTCGGAATTATGTGATCTTGGGCTCATTGGATTCGTCTCGTCGAGCCGCTCGATTCGACTATAAGCATGTCATGTTTGGAAATCGTTTGGTAATCCAAATTGTGGTTTGAAGCTTCCAAAGCATTTCGGGTCCTTGATTTGGACCCATTTGGGCTCAAATTGAGTCAAATTTGGTGTCGTTGGGTTCGTATTTACGAGACGTTCAATTAGACTATAAGTTTACTGAAATCGAAGTTCGGATGGTCCCAATTTTAATTTCGGAAGTTTCCAACTTGATTTTACCTCGAGATTTTGTGCCATCATTTTGAAGATGATGTATCAAAGCTAAACTGTATTAAGTCCAAACTTCAAAAAGAGAAATAGAATAATCCAAGATGAAGAAGGGGATGCAGGCCAAAAGCAATCACAAAAGTCCAATTAGGCCGTTTGGCTTCTAGTAGAATTTAGTAAATCTTCTACTTACAGATTCAGTAAATAATCCTGAAAGCTTAAAATCTTAAAAAACGGTATGAGTCCGTTTTTTGAAGCAATCACAAAAATCCAATTAGGCCGTATGACAAAAAATAGATATTAAATTTAATATTTTTTGCAGATATTTTTGATATTTAAGATTCAAATAAAAGAGAATAAGAGGCGCAATGAAGATAAGTGATTTAAACTCTTAAATCTTACTTTCTTAGGATTTTCTAAATCCTAAATTTACTCTTAAACGAAAAAAGGACTTTAATATGATCATAAAAGTTAGGTGACTCAAAAACACTGTTCGATAACATTCAGCCTAAATCTTGCAACCAAACAGCCCCTAATCATGAAATCTAAATATCCTATACCGCAGTCAGAAATTAAATCGGCGACAATTTCCTAACCAAATGAGAGCGTCAAACGAGTCCATTCTAACGCAAAATAAAGGATCATAGCAAAGCGATGACATGCACGGATCAAGGAATAGCACACCTTCTTCCGCTGATCCTGCTGAACTTCGATTATTTTCGCAGATCTCAGCATCCAAAGCATGCACAATATGAACTCGTACACGAAGCTCCAGATTCCCAACCCTCAAACCTCCCTCCTTCACAAAAATCGTTACAAACCCAAATCAAGATCAGACAAAACCAAGATCGACCTAAAGAGAAATCATCCACATTTGCCCCATCTACCTCGGCTTCTAATCACAAGCTCGCTCTCCCTTCCTCCGCTCCTCCAGACCACCAAGGGGCACAAAGAAGCAAACAGATCCCTCATGCACTCACCCAAACTCCAAGCTTTGCACCCACTTCTCACGAAAGCACCGCTCCACACGATCATAGATAAGAAAAGCAGCAGACAAGCATCCCTCTAGCCTCCTGCATCGCCACCGCCGTAATCCGATCACGCCGACCACCGGTCCCCCCAGATATTAACCAGGATCCGCCGCTGAGGTACGTGAGAAAGCAGAGAGAACCGATCAAAACCTAAACGGAAGCCGGAGAGAGAGAGAGAGAGAGACGGAGAACCTCGTCGGGTGAATTCAGCAGATTTTATAATGGAACCCCGTTCCTCTGTCGGTCTCCGTTGTTAATACGACAGTGGCATATTCGGTAATATTTTTGAAATATAACACGCAATTTTTGGGGATCCTTCACTTGCATTTGAAAGCCTGGAAAATGTATGGAAGTCCGCATACGGAATTTCAGTCTCGTAAAGATTTAGATAGGCTTTAGTCAGAATTCGATTTAAATTCTTTAAATGGCATTTTTAAATTTTATACTTTCTAAATTTTTCTTAATTTTTTTTTTTCAGAAAGATATATGCTAAAAAGTTATAGAATGGGTCTCAATTTTTTTTCAAAATTATTTATTTTGGGATAATTATAATATTAATTATTTATTACTATTCTAAAAAATTTGACCTATTTTTTTTTCTTATTCTACTTATTTAAATTTGAAATTTTTTAAATCTTACATGGACCCAAATTTAACTTGAAATCTAGACTTCGTTTGGGATGACTTTTTTATTACTATTTAAAACAGAGTTTTAGTACTAAATTTTTTGTACTAAAACTCTGCTTTCAGAAGCAAAAAAAAAAAAACATCCCAAACGATGCCTTAAACTCTCAAGCTTTCTTGTTATTGTCATGATTGAATTCATAGGCGAGAAAACAATGAAAGTGTTATACCAGCTCTTGAGACTATAGAAATGAAACTTGAACGTAGATCTTTTAAGGTCAAAAAATTTTAGGGCAGAGTAGGTGATCTTTTAAGGTCAAAAAATTTTAGAACTAAATAGTTTTGCATTAGAAACCTGCTTTAAAAAATAGTAAGAAATCCGTCCTAAATAAAATCTTAATAAGAGCGTAAAATCAAAATTTTAATATGTATTTAAAGGCTAATCGTCTATTGGAAGAGAATATGGGTAATACAAGTTAGTTTCAATAATTGAGAAAAGTCATAAAATGTACTTTGGATAAGTATATTAATAAAATATTCACAATTTTGAAGCTTAGACGTTGTTCAAAACCCATGAGCTTTTAGTGACCAACTTCAATCATCCTACATGTCTTGACTTTCTATAATTATTTAATATTTATATAATTTGTAACATACTTAATTAAATCATAATTAATATTATAATACACAATCAAAAAAAATAAAAGACTAATTTTGCTTATGGATTAATATTCTCTAAAGATCTCTCTTTGAGAGAGATATGTCAAACATAAATATATTAACAATAGTGAAAATGTCGCTGTCTAAATCATTAAAACCAACAAAATCGTGTTTATCTATATCATAGCAACAAGAAAGTTGCTAAGTTGATAAGGAGAATATTCCATCACAATCATAATATTCTTATCATAATAAATCATATGGCATAATAATCAGATCATTAGTGACTAATGATTAGTGTTATAGAACAATAATTCACATAACATCATAATTATAATATAATGTAGCATTATAATTTGAGAATCGTGTAAATAATATAAATATCATAGTCATAAACATTGAAACCATATAAACATAATGCATTACTAATATTATAGCAGTCTCCATTTTAGGCATGATCAAATAAGAAAAATAGAGCCCTAAAAGTATTGGATTTAGGAATAAAACTATTACGTTATTTAATTTATATTACTTTATTTGAATTTCAACCTATTTTTAAATCAAAATTAGTTAAACAAGTATGACATGTAATTAGGATTTAAGGGGCAATATTTTACCAATATAACTATGCCCTCAGTATCAATAATGGTTTGGTTGAATGAGAATTTCAAATTTAATGGTTAAAGATTATGCTTGATGCTTTGTTTGACTACTTTTCTCTCATGATCCTATTTATCTCGTTCTTTAATACCTCACTTGATCCATTATATCATTGACATAGCATCACCCTTCTCTCTCCTATCAAAATTTGAAAGAAATTAAGCTCAAAACCCAAATTACAAAATCCTGACCTTAATAAGTTGAGCTTATCTTACTCATTTCTCATTAAAATGGCATATCTTTAATTCATTGTGGTCATCACTTCATTTAAAGATGCTATGTAAATAAGATTTAAAGGGCATTGTAATGGATAGAAATAGGTTGTATTAAACTCAATAATGATTTAGTTGAAGGACAAGTCATACTTATTGGTTAATGATTGTATTTATGATGCTTTCCTTGGCTACTTCTCTCTCATAATCACATTTGTCTCTCTTATTAATACCTCACCCCATCTGTTAACATAAAAAAATGACCTTGCCCTACAAGATAGGGAAAGAGATAAACAATAGCTCAAGATAGGGATGAGAAGAACTCACTTTAATTATAATTAATTGCCCAATATTGAGAGAGAGAGAGAGAGAGAGAGAGAGAGAGAACATAAGAAACAAAAGTAAAAAGAGTAGAGAATTGAGAATCATTAATTTCAGAGTAATTTGATCATCTTGATCTACATTCACTATGATTAGACCAAAATAAGAGCCTTTTATTACGGTCAATTTTTTATATTACATAACTTGTTGTTGTTACTTCGGAGAAATAAAAAAGGGACGAGAAGGAAAAAGTAATGAATTAGATTTTAGGCAAGAGTCATCCAAGAGTTTGACATATTAGATATCAGAGCATGCATTAGTTAAAAAACTAAGTAGTTTTATTTTTTATTTTTTTGGCATTCTTAAAACAAAAATAATTATTATTTAAAAAAAACAACAAATATTCCAAAGTGAAAATATAAAATTATTATAAAGGATAAATAATCAAATCATACTACGAAATGAAATAATGGATCCCAATTTGTGGCCTCATATCATAAGCATCTTGATAAGACATGCATATTTAAAGCCATTTATATATACAAAGATGGTGGTGGCTCAGCTCGCTGAATGCAATGGACCACACTGCAAAATATTGATTGGTTCTATCCCTATTTACTAACCACTTATTGCTTATCCTCTGCGTTAAGCAAGTTGTGGCTTTCATTCCATGCAACAAGACCAAGTAATTGGGCCATTTGGCCACTTGGTTTCTAAGAAAATTTACATTTATATCAATATTTATTTATTTATTTATTTGCTTATTTATGATGAAAATTCAAAAGGGTGAACAAATACTAATAAATTTTAATTATGAAGGTGAATAGATTAAATGCCTTCTTTTATTATCATAGGAGAATATTTACAGAGATCATAAGAGCTGGTCAGTCGAGTGAGCTAGGGTGGGTGAGTGTTGTCTAGAAATTAAAAGCTGAATAGAAATGGCTTAATTAGAATATAAAGATCGGACAAATAAAAGATAACCACAAATAGAAAATCAATGAAAAGCCTCTTATACACACATGGATGGATGCATGCATGATACATACAAGCACACACAATCTCTTTGCATGCAATAAAAGATATGCTAGGCTCGGAGTGAAGTAAAGACTAAATTAAACACAAGTGCATGTATCGTTCAAGTAATAAAGTTTAGAGTTGAGTGTCGATCCCATAGAGAACTAAATTATTCTAAAAGTACCCTTGTACTGTCTATATGAATTGCAAGTTTCTTCGACCAACCTGTTTGAAAAAGTGTTTTTTTTTTAATAAATTCTACTGCAATTTGTTGAAATGAAATATTTAATACATGAAAGTGCTTTAAATATATGATGGTGATGAAAGGCATATTTACCTAAGTTTGACCCTCTAATGTATGATGTGAATTAGAGCATGCACTCTTAGATTTCTATCAAGCATGTAAGGGTTTAATGTAAACTTTTCACTTCACAATAGTTATTCTATTTCCTTGGAATTTAAAACCGTAGCCATCTTATGTCTAGGTATGGAAGTATAGTATTTCAATTATTCTAATTGTTCCATTGCTCCTTCGAGATAATAAGTCACTCTAGATTCTAAATTAGAGCACGACTGATGTAGTAATTAAATGAAGAACGAGAGAATTTGAAAACAACATTAAAACTTTGCAAGAAGTAGAGTCTATTTGAGTATATCATACTATCTTGCATATCACAAATTCAAAACAAATAATTTAGTTGGCCATATAATTAAAAATACACAAAACAATTTCCATTGATACAATTTAAAACAAAATACAATAAAGGAGTTGTGTGGGATGTCACTAGGAAGCACTTTTACAATAAATTGCAAACACTTTTTACACTATAGATCATTCACCCTTAAGCACTCCATCTCTGCACACTCCCTTAGCACTCACACTATTTTTTATGAAATAAATAGCCAACACTCACAAATTTGACCAAAAATCTATTCGTACTAAGTACATAAGCTATTACTAGCGTAAAAGCTCTATAAAAGTTGGTGTCATGGCGCTTAGTGTAGTGGCATAGTTTGCATGTCTCCATCACGACTGGTCTAGCCTAAAGCAATGTTTCACCAAGGACTATTCTAACTTCTTCGTGCGACATAATGGCAATTTAGCGTTGCGGTGTGGCATAGTTGGAGCTATAGTGCTCACAGGCACTAGGGCGCTCCAAGATACGACATTAGGGTGCTAAATTAATTCTAAATTTTTTTGAGAGCATATCCATTGCAGCACTAAATTCTAGGCGCTAGGGCGCTGGTAGCATGGCGACACTTGGGGTTATGGTGTCAGGGTGCTAAATTAAATTGGAAAAAAAATCCAAGAGCATATAGGTTCTCCGACGCTCTGGATTGGTGTTGCAGTGCATGAGTGGTGCATGCAACACTGCAACACTTGACAAAATAGCGCGCGATGTTTGGTACTTTTCCACATTTTTTATCCTTTTTTATTAAAATTTCCTGCACAACAATAATCATAACAAGAATTTTTATAGGAAAATAGATACAAAAAACTATAATAAAAATTTTTACTAACAAATTCCCCCAAACTTGAGTCATTGCTTGTCCTCAAGTAATTTCAATACACTTATGATTATAACACTTTAATTCACTAAATTGTAAACTTCGAAAAGTTAAAAGCAAGATAATACTTTATTACATGATGTTAATTATAATAATTTGATGGTTGATAACTTTGATTAAGTCAAAGTCGCCCATTATCATGGCGTCTTATGCTGAGTTGGCATAGATGAGTC